GTACATCTTCTGCTATAGGATTCGTACATTGATTTACATGTTCAGCCTGTCCACATGTAACATGCCTTCTATATTTCGATTACTCTTCTGTACATGACCATAAATAAAGTATGACAAGTACATGTATGTGCCACCTTACAATAGACTTGTTGCTGGTAACCTATAGAACATCGGCTTAGTGTGGATTGAAAAGTATCGTGTATCTAGTGCTATTACTGTCTGTATTCGGGTTGAATGTTCGGTTACCATCTTAAACACGTACCGGCAAGAGCAATGCAAAGGGCATGGTTAGTATTATTAACAGCACGAAGATGAGCAAACAAATTAGTATGTACAGATCAAGAAGTCTGTACTACATCTACAAGCATGCTCCGCGCACACCTATGTGTATACATCTATGAATGTGCCCAGAATATGTCAACCAATGTAAGGCACTGTATGTACAAAGTGTACATGTATGCAAATATTTTTACATATAAATATAAATACATATATATATATAAACATGCCGAGCTCTCTACCATGCACAATTTCACACATACATGCGTATATATATATATATATGTATATATATATATCCGTCTTTGTATGTAGGTATATATATATATATATATATACATATGCATATATATATATATATATATATATTTATTTATTTATTCATTTATCCGAACACATATACTCTTCATATATATATATATATATATATAATTGATGTTCATATACACATACACATATATGTGATTGCAACTTATGACATATTTGGAAGTAATACAATAGAACAGAATACTAGTGTCCATGCTTATGTGCCAGCCCGATACAGTAAAACTAACGAAGCAAATCATATGATGCAAACAGTATGTACTGAGGTCCAAACTGGTTATAATGCAAAACACAAATAGCAGTATTGGTATTAGATATTGCAGGGTGCCGGAAAAGTCTTATACTTTCCGTTAGCTCGAGTCGGGAAGATCAGCAACTAGGGCCGTGTCTCTGGTCGCTTGACCCTTGGACTGGACATATGACCAGCAAACCAACTAGCCATAACATGAATGCGGGCACGAGTGGGTCTCTGATGGATTCTATAAAGCAGTATATGTGCTTGTAACATCACAATTCTAGCATAAAGCAAGCTAGCAACAGATACAGAATCAAACAACTTCAAAAAAGCGCACGCCCACAGTCCCCCGACTCTATATGTATATGTATATGTATATGTCTATGTCTATGTCTATGTCTATGTCTATGTCTATGTCTATGTATATGTGTATGTATATGTATATGTATATGTACATGTACATGTACATGTATATGTATATGTATAAAACGGGGGACCCTGGGCGTGCGCTTTTCCAGGAGTTTTAGCGCTAGCTTCAGCATCATTTACGCAATACTTAATGAGAGAGGTACGCTCCCTGCAATAACGGAGTTTTGCTGCAGATGACACCTCAAAAGAACCCAAAAAGAACTAAAAACCAAAAAATATAAAAAAAAACAGAACAAAAAAAACCGAAAGAACCAACAAAACCAATTGCCAGAGACTCCTGGACTGAAATTTCCATGGCCGGAGAGTGTCGGATTTTTGTTTCTTTTGGTTATTTTGTTTTTTTTGGTTCTTTGGGTTTTTTGGGTTCTTTTGTTGGAAGTGGCTGCCAACCAAAAAACATCAAAATACGCGCGCGCCCAGGGTCAGTGGCACACATTGGGGGGCAATGCACTCTCACGGCAAGGCTCGTAGACAATGCACATGTATACGTGTGAGTACTGCAGTTGGTCTAGTTTAAAGCTGTTACATTGTCACTCTTGTAATTAGGCTTATCGGCGTCTGCGGGATACAGCGACCAATTATTTGTTGAGCTCCGTTTGTTTTACAGCAACTACCATTTTTACTGTTAATACGGTGACTATTAAATGTCCCTGAAATATGCAGGTCGATATTGATTCGCCGATAATTTTGTGTTTTTTGCAGGAAAAACCCCAGATGAAGTGTATAGTACTGCTGATCATATTGTCGTAAATTACTACAGTTACTTTTTCAATCTCACATAGGCTCTTCACAGCATACTAGAAAACTTGGATGTGCATAGATACATGTGCGTGTGAAATATGTATGTATGTATGCATATATATATATGTATATAGGTACACATACGTGAATGTGTATGAGTACCTATTTTTTGAGATGTATGTGTAAACTGTGCGGATGTATACATAAAATACAAGTACTGTCGTATGCTAAACGTTCTTTTACTTCGAAGTAAAGTTGAAGGCATAATCAGCTAATCAGGCTTACTTCATTTGTTTGCACAGTTACTGATTTGCTTATCACCACGTTACTGTATAGGCAACCTATTTACCAGTTTCAAGTACTGCAATTGGATACCACTAGAAGTTTCATCTTTAATTTCATACCCGTTGTTACAACACTGGTTTGGTATTGTCGATCTTAAGAGTCTTGAACATGTCTTATCTTGTTGTGTATAAGTGTCTACATGAAGGCGATCACTTGGAACACCGGTGCACATCTGTACAATACACTGGCCAACAAGCCTAAGCTTAAAAAAGCGCATTATGTTTGTAGGATCATTCACATGTACATCTTCTGCTATAGGATTCGTACATTGATTTACATGTTCAGCCTGTCCACATGTAACATGCCTTCTATATTTCGATTACTCTTCTGTACATGACCATAAATAAAGTATGACAAGTACATGTATGTGCCACCTTACAATAGACTTGTTGCTGGTAACCTATAGAACATCGGCTTAGTGTGGATTGAAAAGTATCGTGTATCTAGTGCTATTACTGTCTGTATTCGGGTTGAATGTTCGGTTACCATCTTAAACACGTACCGGCAAGAGCAATGCAAAGGGCATGGTTAGTATTATTAACAGCACGAAGATGAGCAAACAAATTAGTATGTACAGATCAAGAAGTCTGTACTACATCTACAAGCATGCTCCGCGCACACCTATGTGTATACATCTATGAATGTGCCCAGAATATGTCAACCAATGTAAGGCACTGTATGTACAAAGTGTACATGTATGCAAATATTTTTACATATAAATATAAATACATATATATATATATATATAAACATGCCGAGCTCTCTACCATGCACAATTTCACACATACATGTGTATATATATACATATGCATATATATATATATTTATTCATTTATCCGTACACATATACTCTTCATATATATATATATATTTATGTTCATATACAAATACACATATATGTGATTGCAACTTATGACATATTGGAAGTAATACAATAGAACAGAATACTAGTGTCCATGCTTATGTGCCCTCAGCCCGATAAAACTAACGAAGCAAATCATATGATGCAAACAGTATGTACTGAGGTCCAAACTTGTTATAATGCAAAACACAAATAGCAGTATTGGTATTAGATATTGCAGGGTGCCGGAAAAGTCTTATACTTTCCGTTAGCTCGAGTCGGGAAGATCAGCAACTAGGGCCGTGTCTCTGGTCGCTTGACCCTTAGACTGGACATATGACCAGCAAACCAACTAGCCATAACATGAATGCGGGCACGAGTGGGTCTCTGATGGATTCTATAAAGCAATATATGTGCTTGTAACATCACAATTCTAGCATAAAGCAAGCTAGCAACAGATACAGAATCAAACAACTTCAAAAAAGCGCACGCCCACAGTCCCCCGGACTCTATATGTATATGTATATGTATATGTATATGTAAATGTATATGTATATGTATATGTATATGTCTATGTCTATGTCTATGTCTATGTCTATGTGTATGCATATGTCTATGTCTATGTCTATGTCTATGTCTATCTCTATGTATATGTATATGTATATGCATATGTATATGTATATGCATATGTATATGTATATGTACATGTACATGTATATGTATATGTATATGTATATGTATATGTATATGTATATGTATGTGTTTTTGTTTCTGTATATGTATGTACATCACTTACACCTTATAGCTTATACCTTATACATACCTCATATCTTGCATCTTTTACCTTATATCTGTATCTATCTTTGTATACATATAATATATGTACATATTCGTATATATATATATATATATATATATATATATTCAATTCATACATATACATATGTATGCAGATAGTATACATGCACAGATAAACAGAACCAGAACAGGGCAGGATCAGGCTCTTTCAGACATTCCTGGTGTCATTGTTTATAACAACATATTGATAACTTGCAAATAGCGAGGCTGTAAAGAATGCAGTAATCAGTTAGTTGCGAAGTTGGGTCTGGTGCTAGGTAGTCACGCCCTAAGTCCTGAACGTACTTGTTGTCTGGAGGCCTGTGCGGCGTTGTTTTGATCGTATGCGATATTACATCGTACTGAATTATATCATACCATATCACGTGATATTATGCCATGTTATATCATATTACATGATCTCTCATCATGTTTATTGTAGAGCACTACATGCTACATACTATTTCCGATGTACTATACTATACCATACTGCACTGTACTATACTGTGCTCTACTATACTATACAGTATACTTTACAGTATACGTTTTCTGCTCTGTTCTTCCCGAGCTCGCCATGCAGTATATTGAGTTGGAGATTTGCCGTTCGCTTTTCGGATGCGCGTGGTGCGCACATAGTAGCCCTTTCGGAAAAGAATATGGCTTGTTGTAGCATGATTTAACCTAGCAGTCTGCTCATCCATGTCCGTGCCCTCACCTACCGTCATCGCCACTGTTGCTACCGCCACTGATGCCACTGCCACCGCGATCACCGTCACCATCAGCACCGGCATTACGACTGCCACGAGCGCCACCAGTGCAACCAGCTCCACATCGTCAACGTCATCACCATCATCGTAATCATGATCATCTCATATATCGTCCTCATCCTCATCCTCATCTTTATCCTCATCCTCATCCTCATTTCATGATCTTCTTCATCTTCATCATCATCATCGTTATCATTGTCAGGACTTCTTCCGACGAGATGAGCGAAACCTCCGAGCGAGGCCCCGGCAGATGCGACGGTGGCGATTTGGGGTCCGTAAAAGCAACATTGGTTCGGGCTCTCAGGCTAAAAGCCTCACTTATCGCGATGTTTATAATATTACTGTTATTATGGTCATTACTGGTACTATTAGTATTGATATTCATGTAGACTATACTATTATGAATCTTTTTCTTCTTATCTTTGTTAGACCTTTCAGACTCTGACTTGCTTGTCGTAGTAGATGCAGGGCTGGTGTACGGGTTTTGTCTTCATGATTGGTGCATTTTTCGCGCGCTGCAGTCTGCTTGAAAACTCGTTTGGTCACATCGTTCCATTCTTTTCCGTACCTTTTGGGGTTGGAGTTTTCACGCCACGGTGTGCGAAGATAGGTTTAAAATTCAGCCGAGTTGCGGTTTCGGCATGTCTGGCGGGGGGACAGGGCCTTCGAGGCTACGGTTAACGTAACGAGGACAGACACAGATTCGGCGAACCCCTAAGCCCTAAACGCGGTATTGGGTGCCTGGCCGAGAGCTGCTTTGTCAGCGTCTGCGATTCGTCGAAGCCCGGCTGGGCTGACTTGTACACTCAATGTCAACACTAGCAAAAGCCTCGGCTATTTTCGTTGTGCAGACAATTCTATGCTGAATTTTATGTGCTATATGTATGTGTGTATGTGCAGGTTCTTGGCCACGGGTGACCCACTCGACGGCGAGCCTCGAGTACTGCTGAAGGCGCGGTGCTGCGATACCCTGACCCTAAACCTCTACCCTAAACCCCGAACCCTAGGCGCCTAAACCCCGAAGCCCCAAACCCTAAACCCCCAAACCCCTAAACCCCTAAACTCCCAAAGAAGGCTTGTCCGACCTTCTGAAGACTGTCCTACTTGCAGGTTCATGGGTAGTTATAAGTGGGGTGTAAGTCGCGTAGCTATAATTATAACCCATATTAGGGGACTTATAACTCCACTTATAACTGCCCATGAAGCTCCAAGTATGGGAACCTTATACAGACACCCCACTACGCTGTGAGGAGTATTCCTCACTTCATATCATGGCATGTCGTGGCCCAGCCCGAACTCCTAAACTCTAGGCGTCCTAGGCTTTTTGGGAATTCCCTGAAGCCTAACCCCTGAACCCTGAACCCTAAACCCTGAACCCCTAAACGCTGAACCCCTAAACCCCTAAGCCCCTAAACTCTAAACCCCTAAACCCCTAAACCCTAAACCCCTAAACCTCTAGACCCTAAACCCCTAAACCCCTAAACCCTAAACCCTCTTGGCAGGTGCCCTATGACCGGAGCCTTGACGGTTGGGTGGAGCATGAGACTTGGCTTTGGGTTTAAGCTTACCTTTCGGGTTCCTTTAAAGGGATGTATAAGCATTCCTTTAAAGGGATCGATAATGGTTCCTATAAGGGATCTATAAGGTTTCTATAAGGGGGTTTCCTTACTTTTGGTTAGTAGGGAATGGAAGAATGGTAGTAATAGTAGTTATAATTGTACCCCGTTCCTCCATTCCCTACTATCCAAAAGTAAGTTTAGGGATTTAGGTTTTCTAGGTGTTAGGGGGTTCCAGGGTTTAGGTTTTGGGGTTTAGGCTTCTAGGGTTCAGGTTTTAGGGTTTAAGGTTAGGGGGCTTTGGGTTTGGGGTTTGGGGTTTAGGGTTTCTAGAGTTTAGGGTTTCTAGGGTTTGGGGCTTGGGGTTTAGGGTGCAGGATGAAAAGAGATGCCCAGGCTGGAGGAGTCGTTCTGGATCGTGCGGCCGTGGAAGCGATAGCGCAGCTATCATTTTGTGGCAGACGGTTTAGGGGTTTAGGTTTTAGGGTTAGGGTTTAGGGTATTTTGTGGACGACGCCCTTCAACCGAGAGATGGAGATAAATCTCTCACATTCATGGCTCCACGCGAGTGCTTGGCGACATATTTGTCCAGGGGCCTGGATATGTGAATGCTGAGTGCGAAAGGTGTTCGCATCAGGCGACTTTTCAGAAAGCTGGAGTTTTTGTCCCTAAACCATAAACCCTAAACCCTAAACCCTAGACCCTAAACCCTAAAAACCCTAAACCCTAAACCCTAAACCCTGTCCGTCCATTCCCACCCTGCTCAAGCGATACCAGGTTCGCCGTGCAGTCTACATCCGAGAAGCAACGACACGACATCTGCGGGGTCCACCAATTCGCTGGGCGCGGTTAAGGGTTTAGGGTTTAGGGTTTAGGGTTTAGGGTTTAGGTGCCTGCAAGCCAGCTGGAACAGATGCGAAACCCTAAACCCTAAACCCGAAGCAAGAAAGAAAGGACCTTGGCTTGTTGCAGAAACTGCACGAAGCTCACATCCTGGAGCCGGCGGAGCAAGAGAAAGTGATGTGCTGTACTTGAGGGCCATAAAACAGGTTACACTCTACTATAAACACCAAACGTAAGGGGATATCCCACCATTACTTATTGAGAGCCTAATATTAGAATCGTTTTTGAACGTCTAAATTACCTAACCTTATACACCCTCAGATTGCGGAAAAAAGGATTGAGGGGCTTGGGCTATGGTTGGCATGTTGAGAGTTTACCTCTCATTGATTTGGGTGGTCCGGGTGTTTTGTACTACAATTTCTGGGTGAAGATAGTGGCACTGCGACATTCCTGCTGCTCGAAAATCCTGCCCAAAGCCCCCACACCCAAAACCTAAACCCTACACCCTAAGCCTAAACCCAAAGCCCCTAAATCCTCCTCAAACCCTAAACCCTAAACCAAAGCCCCTAAATCCTAAACCCTATATAAGCCCTAAGCCCAGTGCCGAAAAGCCCGGAAAACCGGGTCTCCCCGGATCAACGACTGGGTTCCTGTTAAGAGATTTAATTCAGAATAGTACGCCATGGCGGTGTGCGTTTCCGAGAGTTCTAATTTAAGTGGGCTTAGGGTTTAGGGTTTTTGATTTGATTATAGTTACCCTATTAAGGGTCTATAGTGAATAAGTGTAGTTACCCTTATTATGGTAACTTGAAAAAATCCTTAACATACCTTAGCCCTAAACCCTTATAGAACCCTCAAAGGAACCCTAAATTATGGTAACCTGATTTACACCCTAAACCTTAAACTCCACACCCTAACCCCTTAATTTAAACCCTAAACCCTAAACCCCAAACCCTAACCCCATTAAATTAAACCGAAACCCTAAACCCAAACCCTTAACCCTAAAACCCAAAGCCCTAAACTCCAAACCCTAAACCCCAAACTCTTAATTCGAACCCCTTATAACAAGAACCCAGACGAAGGAGTGGGACGTGCTCTCAGACCTACAGGCCCGGCGTGCGCTGCCATGTGGGTAGGGACTTTGGGGTTTAGGGCTTAGGGTTTAGGGAGTTTTAGAGGACTTAGGGGTTTAGGGTGTAGGGTTTGGGGCTTATTTCCTTGGGTTAAGGGTTTAGGGTTTTAGGGCGTTAGGGTTTTAGGATTTTAGGGTTTTAGGGTTTTAGGGTTTGGGGTTGAGGGCATAGGGCTTAGGGTTTAAGGTTTGGGGCTCGTTTTCGGATTGTCAATAAGGGTGCGATTGAGTTGGTTGCATCTTTTCAATAAGGTTTCTCGGTTAGGTTTTTTCTCGGGTTTGGGATTCATTTAAGAGTTCCGTTAAGGGTACGGTTTCTAGGGGGTAGTTCTGTGAGTTTAAATCCCTTGTTAGGTCCTGTCTACACATGTGAAAGTTTCAATTCAGGGGAGGAACTTTGCTCCTGTCTGGGGCCTTTGGGGACTGTGTAGTGTAGTGTAGGGTATCATAGTATAGCCTGGTAGTCTGTCGGTCTGTTTGTCTGTCCCTGTTTGTCCGTCTCTCTGTCCCTCTCCCTCTTCCCTCCCTCTCCTCCCTGTCTCCCTGCGGTCTGTGCCTCTCTTTTCCTTCGTAGTACCTAGAGAGCTAGATAGCTACTTGTAGAAGAGTTCCGCAGATTTCCTGCCGTAGTCTCATGATCTTCTTCGTAAGGAGCCTTGGAACTGGATCCTCGCGAAACCGCGGAAGGGTGTCTGTTTCGGATGCGCGCGCGCGCGGTCGGTGTGTGTGTGTGTGTGTGTGTGTGTGTGTGCGTGCTCTTTGGGGTCGAAGAGTGCACACAAATTGTTGTGTCTGGAGACTCTAAGCCCTCGAACGATGAACCCTGCAAGCTTAAAACCTTAGACCCCACAAGAGCCCTAAACCCTTATAAACTCCAAACCCCGACCACCCCCCCCAACTAGGAGTGTGGTATGCTTGAGTCTCTCGACTTCGATGGCACACGTCGCCTCCCCCTTTATAGAACCATTATAGGTAGCTTTTCAACTTTTCGGCACCCTTATGGAACCCTCAAAAGGAACCCCAAAGCCCTAAACCCTAAAGCCCTAAACCCTAAACCCTAAAGCCCTAAACCCTAAACCCTGAAGCCCTAAAGCCTTAAAGGAACCCCAAAGCCCTAAACCCTAAACCCTGAAGCCCTAAAGCCTTAAAGGAACCCCAAAGCCCTAAACCCTAAAGCCCAAAAGCCTTAAAGGAACCCCAAAGCCCTAAACCCTAAACCCTAAAGCCCTAAAGCCTTAAAGGAACCCCAAAGCCCTAAACCCTAAACCCTAAAGCCCAAAAGCCTTAAAGGAACCCCAAAGCCCTAAACCCTAAACCCTAAAGCCCTAAAGCCTTAAAGGAACCCCAAAGCCCTAAACCCTAAACCCTAAAGCCCTAAAGCCTTAAAGGAACCCCAAAGCCCTAAACCCTAAACCCTAAAGCCCTAAAGCCTTAAAGGAACCCCAAAGCCCTAAACCCTAAACCCTAAAGCCCTAAAGCCTTAAAGGAACCCCAAAGCCCTAAACCCTAAACCCTAAAGCCCTAAAGCCTTAAAGGAACCCCAAAGCCCTAAACCCTAAACCCTAAAGCCCTAAAGCCTTAAAGGAACCCCAAAGCCCTAAACCCTAAACCCTAAAGCCCTAAAGCCTTAAAGGAACCCCAAAGCCCTAAACCCTAAACCCTGAAGCCCTAAAGCCTTAAAGGAACCCCAAAGCCCTACACTTTTTTGCCGGCTGAAGCTCTGCGCAGGGCATCCCAGGGGTTCCCAAGCTCGCCGGCCCGGCCTTCTTCTTCGAGGAGGGGAGGAACTCAGAACCTCCAAAACCCCTTGATTAAGGAATATACTTAGGGTTCCTTTAAGGGGTCTATAAGGGATCTATAGGCTTAGGGTTTAGGGGATTCTAATACCCCTTGATTAAGGAATATACCTTGAATCATATTAGGGCTCCTATTATAATTTAAGGTATATTCCTCAATTAAGGGGTTTTGGAGTCTCTGGGGGAGGAAGTCGGGTTTAGGATTTAGGGGTCTTAGGGGTAGCTATAAGGGCTCCTCTAAGGGTCCCTTTAAAGGGCTCTATGGGGATTCTATAAGGGTTTAGGATTTAGGGGTTTTAGGGGACTTAGGGGACTTAGGGGTTTAGGGCTTAGGGTTTAGGGGTTTTAGAGGACTTAGGGGTTTACTTGGAGGTTCATGGGTAGTTATTAGTGGGGTTATAAGTAGGGTAAATATAAGTATAACCCACATGAGGGGACTTATAACTCCACTTATAACTACCCATGAACCTCCAACTAGGGTTCAGTGTTTAGGGGTTTAGGTTTTGGGTTGAGGGTTTAGGAATAGAGTTTAGGTTAGGGGTTTAGGGTTTAGGGTTTAGGGTTACAGGTTTAGGAACAGGGTTGAGGTTCCAGTGTTTAGGGTATAGGGGGAATTCAGGTTTACCAGGATCTGTTTCGTTGGTGTTCTTTTTGTGCAGGTGCTTTTCCGTGCTTTTGGGATGTACGGAAAAGGGTTTAGGGCTCAGCGTACGGTCTGTAGGGCTTCTGTGGCTTCAGGTTCAGGGTTTAGGGTTTCGGGTTGTGTGTTTTAGGTGTAGGGCTACAAGCTCTGGGGTTAGGGCACTCATTTCTTCCAGGAAGGAGGGAAGAAGGGACTGAGGTTTAGGGTGTCATACAGTTGTGGCAGATTCGTTGCAGGGCTTTATCGGGCTTGATAGCTTGTTTACTGGGCCGTTTTTTATAAGGGTTTCTTTGGCCGGGAAGGGTTTTGGGGATAGCGGGAAGGGCTGCCATAAAGGCTTCTACACGGGTTAACATAGGGCTTACTACGTAAGCTTTTGTTATGGTGACCCTCGGTTTGTAGGTCACCAGATTAACCCCAGAGCCCAAAACCCCAAAAGCCCTGAACCCACCTTCAGTACAGTCTGAACCCTGAACCCCTAAGGCGCTAAAACCCGCAACCTATAGACCCTAACCGCCCTAAACCCTACACCCCATACACCCCTAAACCCTAAACCCCTATTCTCTAAACCCCTAAACCCTAAACCCCTAAACCCCGAACCCAAAACCCTCTTATAGATCCCTTTATAGAACCCTTATAGATCCCTTTAAAACCCTTATAGATCCCTTATAGAACCCCAAGCTACTAAACCCTGCATCCGCGAGCCTGAAGGACCTGGGCGTGAGGGCTCTGGCACTGGAGTTCGCTGGCATGCCAAGCCTCCAGCAGCATGCAGAGTCTAGGCGAAAGCCGGCCACGGAGGTGCAAGAAACTCGGGTTTTGAGGGTTTTGGGGGGGGACCCTGATATAGTACCCTAAATAGTAGAATCCTTATTATAGGGGCCCCAAAATAAGGTGCCCATAATTTTCGGAAACTCCCTTTTGTGGGGCTTCTGGGGTGTTGGGGCTTCCGAGTCTAGGGTTGCAGGGTGCAGGGGCCAAAGATGGGGCGGGGGTAACCTGGATCGCGGAGCATCGACAGGTCATGGGTCTAAGGTCGAAAAGCGTAGAATAGGAGGGGCTCCAGCAGCTAGGGCCCGGATTTAGTTGGCAGAGATACACCTCCAACGAAGGATGACGACGACAGACTAGCACAGCAACAGGGGGCGCAGGCCATGTGGGACCCACTCGCACTGAAACAGCCTGATCCGAAAGCTTTCTTGAGCTCCGGGCCGGGGTCTCATGGACAACATTTCATGGCATGGAAGCTACAACTCGAACCCCGAGAAATCGTGTTACCAGCTACTGGCACAGGAGCTCTTTCGCATGACCATCTTTTTCGTCGGCACCCTGGAGAAGGTCCACCAGCGCGGCTGGCTGCACGCGGACCTACAGCCGAAGGATTGCTGATGCTAGACCTGCCTAAACCCTCAGGCCGAATACGGCTGGACCTTCTGCGAGAAAAGGCCCCATTGCACTTACAAAAAAAAAAACCTCACGCCCATCTCAACCCTAAGCCCCAGACCCTAAACCCCAAAGCCGAAGGATTTGCTGGTACTTGACAAATCTGCGGCCTGGCAGCCACTCCGGCAGACGACGGAGAGCATGATGCAGGAGGAGCCCGTAGCAGCACTGTTAACCGAGCCGCAGCAACGATACGAGTAGTGATAGTGACTGCACCGATACCACGTGCCACCACCCGGCAAAACCTGCCACCGCCTGCCACCACCACCCACCACCGACCACCACCGACCACCACCGATCACAACCTACCACCACCTGCCATCACCTGCCACCACCTGCCACCTCCTGCCACCACCACCCACCACCGACTACCACCGAGCACCACCTAGCACCACCTAGCATCGCCTAGCACCACATAGCACCACCTAGCACCACCTACCACTCTCCACCCCTTCGTCATCATCATCATCGTCATCATCCATCATCATCCATCATCATCATCATCATGATCATCATCATCCATCATCATCACAATCTTCAGCGTCATCGTCATCGTCAGCATCATCATCGTCGTCGTCATGGTTGTCACAGCAGCAGCTTTGCGCTGGCATTCGTCTTCCTTCCGTTTCGATCGTACTCCGGTGACGCGTATGGGGTATGCCATACCCCAAACAAACCCTAGACTCAAAATGTAAGCCCTATAGACCTTAAACTGGGGCCAGGAGGGCCTTTCTGTAAGGTCAAGGGCATTTCCAAAAGTGCAGCTATCAGAAAACCGACGCTGGGAGTGGAGTTCGGCGATCACGGTTTAAGGGTTTGCACCTGAGAAGCTTATGGTGTAGTGGTTTAGGGTGCTTTAGGGTGACTGGTGTTATGCCCTGAGTCCTGATCCCAAACCCCTGGATGGAGTCCCTTCTACCCGGATACCGGAATCCAGTTGGGTGTTTCAGGCTAGGGGGTTGCTACCTGTTGAAATCAAGGATTAGCCCTACATATTTTAAGTTCTCAGCTCGAAACCCTAAAGCAGAACATCTAAACCAAAGCTTCGGGGCTTGCAACAAAAAGCCCGTGCGAGGAGCCGATCGGATTGATCTGCGGTTGGACGCACGCCATGAGATGGACGGCGGACGCAGCGGAGCTGCAGCGGAGAGAGGTCTGCGCCCAGTTGCAACTTGACTCCCATTTTCTGTTGGGGTTGAGGGCTTTGGGTTTGAAAGGTTGTGCTGGGCCTTGGGAGCTATGTACCGAAACTTCAAACCCCTCCACATCCCTCCACCATGAACTTTTCGTCTTCTCAGGTTTCAGATCCTGTGCGTCATGAGGTTTAGGGTTTAGGGTTTGGGGGTTTAGGGTTTAGGGTTTAGGGTTTAGTTGAAGGCTGTTGGGTTTCCTTGCTGGCCTAAACCGTCGTGTTCTCGCTAGTCGTCGTGGTTGTCCTGGTCGTCTTGTTCGTGGTGTGGTCGTCGTGGTCATGGTGGCCATCGTGGCGTCCCGGTACTCATGGTCGTCGTGGCCTGCTGGTGGTCCGTGTCGTCTTTGTCGTCATGGTCGCCTTGATGGTCTTGGTCGTCGCCATTGTGGTCGTAGTCGTCGTGGTGGTCCTCCCACGGCGAGTAGTCTGTCATTGTCTCGAGATCTGTGCTGGCCTAACAGAATCTGTCCCGCACCCTTTCTAGATCTCTTGTAAACCCCGAAAGGAGCTCCGAACCAAAACCCTCAAACTCAACAGTCCCCTTCTACTTGGAGGACCATGGGAGTATGGTTAGTAATTATAAGTATAGTTACCTAATTATCACCCTAGTTGGTGGTGTCCCATGATCCTTGAAGTAAGCCCACCGAGCCTGATAGTTCGCTTCACAGGAGCAGGTCCTCAGCGTTATTGTCCTACTAGTAATCCCTAAACCCCAAACCCGTGAAGGAACCCTTCAAGGAACGCCGAAAAGAACCCTTAAATGAACAGGAGCCCCGAAAAGAACCCTTAATTTCAGCGTTCTTTCAAGGCTTCCTGTAGAGGGCTGCCTTTCCCGATGCCAATGGTCCGTCTGAATTTCCACATTGGTCTCGACTTTGCTGAGTTGGGAAAGCAGCCTGACAAGTTCCAGAAAGGGGCTTGAGTTAGCTTGAAAGAGCTGATCGCCACATTTGTGGATATGATGATGTCGTATGCGATCTTCGTGATGCTGTGGCCAAACCTTGATGCGGCAAACTCCTGGCTTGAGCCGCGGAGATTGTTCTCCGGCGACGATCTCCATTTCGAGAGCATTGGATTGGGTGAGTGGCATCCAATGAGTTGGCGGGATGTGGGTGGTTGTCAAAATTATGGTCCCTTTTTGGGTACCCTAAATAATAGGTGCCGTATCATAATAAGGACCCCAAACAGGGACCCTAGTCTTGACAACCAGCCACGTGGATTTGCCTGGAGGGGCCCATTTGTCGGTGGAGGCAAGGCCCAAGGATGCTTTCAAGCTTACAATCACAGGGGAAAAAGAAGGGACCCTTAATGGGGACCCCTACCCTATAATGGGCTATATAATGGGTATATAATAGCTATCCTATCCTTAAAGGAACCCTTTCAGGAGCCTTAAAGGAACCCTTAAAACCTTCAAAAACCCCTATCCTTAAAGGAACCCTTTCAGAAGCCCTTTTAAAGAACACCAAGGCAGGAGCCTAAACCCTAAACCCTAGACCCCAAACCCTAAACCCTAAACTCTAAACCCAAAGAACACCAAGGCAGGAGCTACTCGGGTCAGGGCCCCTTTCGGCGGCCTCGGCGGTCTCCATCAGCGGAGTGGTCTCCGTGGCTGAGAGCCGCTTGGCTTTCGAGAGTTCAGCGCTTGCTAAGGAATACCTAGGTTCCCCTTTAAGGGATCCTTTAAGGGAGCTTTAGGGTTTAGGGGGTTCTCATATCCCTTAGTTAAGGAATATTCCCCAAAGCCTAGGGGTCCTACTATAATTCAAGGTATATTCCTTAATCAAGGGATATTGGAGTCTCTGGGTGTGGGAGAGTGTCCGACCCCTGAAGCCAGGGGTTGCGGCTTTCGCCCGTATAGAGGCAAAACCGGCAGCGGCGCCAGGACCGCGCAACTACTAAAGTCGGAGCCTCCTCTCTTTGCTGAGGGTGAAGGGGGGCTCTTAAGCGCGCACAAGCTTTTATCAGCGCTTAGTACGGGGCATGGGGTGTTCGCCCACCTTAAGCCTTAAGGGTTGCGGACATATCAACAGGCATACTTCTGTCTTGATAGATGTCATAGATCCCACAAAAAGGCAGAAAGAGCGCTCACAAATAGCAAGATTGTAATCACCGGCCTCCATACACACGAGGCACGACGGACCGCCTAGACCAATGAACACGGAAATCGCATTGAACATCACTGTTGACCCTTTTTGAGGAAGAAGCTGTGTCAGAACTCAGAATCTTTCGTGATGCTGGTTTTGAGGTGTTTCCTGCTCTGAAGCCTGATGGAGCAGACACCCACTAGGACCCATAGTAATTATGCCCTTATTGCCCTTTTTAGGGTTGAAGTTACCTTATAACCCCCTGTAGACCAAAACTGGCACTCTTTTTATTCCTAGGTTACTCTCAGGTCTAACCCCACAACCATCAAGCAAGTGTTGCCTTTTTCTCCTCGGCGACCTGAATAGCCCAGCTAGAGCTCTTGTAACAAGCCAAAACCCACAGGGACCATGGCCAAACCCTTAAAGCGCTTCCTCTGAGCCCCTGAGAACCCCAAACCCTAAACCCTAAACCCCTAAACCCCAAAACCCTAAACCCTAAACCCTAAACTCTAAACCCTAAACCCCTAAACCCCTAAACCCCAAACCCTAAACCCCAAAACCCTAGCTCCTAAACCCTCAGCCCCCAGTTTTTGGGATCCTTTATGGAGGATCCTGCACCCCAAAGCCCCGGCTACACCTCAGACACGACAACATGCACCAAACCCAAAGCCCTGCCGACGCCTACAGGCGCTCCAAGCACTCTACCAACCCAGAACCCTAGACCCTACCTTAAGCCGGAATAACTTACCTTTTTAAGGATTTATATAAGGAAATCATAATAAGGAACCCTAAAAAGGTAGGCTATTCAGGGTTAAGCTCGACAGCAAGGGGACGCGCCACTGCCGCCTGCAGCAATGAGTCTCCCCTGATCGCAGTGTAAACGTGCGACTCAAGTTCTTGAGATGTAGCTACATGCTACGGCTGCCAACTCACCCTAGGATAGAATCACTGGAAGCAGCTCTTTGCCACATGGAGGCCGGCAGGGAATGATGCCAGATTAGTAAGGAGCAGCAACCAAGCGGCAGATGGCGTCCCGACGAGGGTGCCGGAGGTCATAGAAGATGCTGCTTCGATGGCAATAACGGCACACACACGAATTGGCAGCCTTTTCGAACTCGTGGGTTTACGAGCCAATTTAAGGTTCCCATCATTTGTGGCTGGCACAACGTGACGTACATCCTCGACGGGGAGCAGAAGACCTACTGGTATCATGCTCGAGGGCAGGTCACGTCCTCGACCTGTCCCATGTACTGGGACGATGTCCCAGATCCACCGGACTTGGATGCACAACTCCAGATGGATCAAGGGCAATGGCGGCTTTGGCACGTGTATAAGACACGATACAGCAAGGACTTGAGCTTCTGGTTTAACTCTCGAGATGGAACGCGCCTGAGTTACAGCAGCCTAAGCTTCCTAAGCAAGAAACTTTCAACCCTAAACCCCCAACCTAAGCCACAAAACCCATAACCCCAAAGCCCTAAATCCCTAAACCCTAAATCCCTAAACCCTAAATTCCTAAACCCTCAACCCCTAAATCCCTAAACCTTAAACCCCTAAACCCTCAACCCCTAAAGCTCAAAGCCCCTAAACCCTAAACCCTAAGTTCCTAAACCTTAAACGCCTAAACAACTAAACCCTCAACCCCTAAAGCTCAAAGCCCCTAAACCTTAAACCCTAAACCCTGAGTCAGTTCCTGGACCCTACACCCCTAAACCCCCAAACCCTCAAGCCCCTAAAGCTCAATGCCCGCCCCTAAACCTTAAACCCTGAACCCTAAGTTCCTAAACCTTAAACCCTAAACCCCTAAACCCTCAAGCCCCTGAAGCAAAAAGCCCCCAAGCTCTAAACCCCACAACCTTAAACCCTTAAGCCCCTAAAAGCCTCAAACCCTAAAGCTCAAAGCCCGCAAAGCCTAAATCATAGAACCCTTAAACATCCCTTATAGAGATCCTTATAGATCCCTTTAAAGGAACCGATTGCAGCTTACTCTTTCGTCTACTCTTAGTGAATCCCTTAAAGGAACCCTTATAAATCCCTTATAGAGATCCTTATAGATCCCTTTAAAGGAGCCTCGAAAGCCCCCAGGCTACTCTTCGGACAGACAGTTCCGGAGTCGACTCGCGAGCCTTCCGAGTCCTTCCGCCTCTTAGCAGACGAAAGAGTAAGCTTCAATTTAGAGGCTCCTTTAAAGGGATCTCTAAGGATTTCCTATAAGGGATGTTTAAGGGTTCTATGAAGGGTTTCTCTTAGCCTTAGTAGACGAATGAGTAAGCTTCAAACCTTTTTGGGTTCAGGGTTCCGTGAAAGGGATTTATAAGGGTTCCTTTAAGGGATTCACTAAGAGTAGACGAGAGAGTAAGCTGCAATCGGTTCCTTTAAAGGGATCTATAATGATTTCTATAAGGGATGTTTAAGGGTTCTATGAAGGGTTTAGGGGTTTAGGGGTTTGGGGGTTTAGGGGTTTAGGAGTTTGGGGGATTCGGGGTTGAGGGGTTTAGGGGTTTAGGGCTTTAGGGCTTTAGGGGTTTAGGGGTTTAGGGGTTGTCGGTTTAGGCGGCTTAGAGGCGGTTCTTGGCTTAGAGTTGAGCTTGGTGGCTTATGAACTCGGCAGCTAAGGCCTTCTCGGCGCCCGAGCAGTTCGTGACGCTTTTCACGGGCCAGGCATGCAACCCGGTTCAGGGGCCGTTTAGTGTTGAGTGCCTCTTGGTTAGCGTTTAGGGTTTTGGTGTTACTGGTTCGGGTTTTGGCTCTAGGGGTTGAGGGTTTATTGCTTTATTGTCTTCGCGTTTATTGGTTCCGAGTTCCGTCTTCAGGGCTTTTAGGGGTTACGGGTTTCGGTTCCTGTTTTGTTTAGAGTTTAGGAGTTTTGAACGAGGTTGCATACGATGTAAGCGGGCTTGGGCAGGTCCCACAGGGCACCCATCCCGTAAATGCATCCTTAGCCTTAAGCCCCACGCAAAGTAAGCCTTAACCCTGAACCCCAAACCCAAGCCCTTTTAACTCCTAAAGCATGACAAACCCTGGGCTCTTTCGAAAACAAGCCATACTTGGAGGATCGTGTGACTTAGTAAGTATAATTGGGGTTATAAATAGTTATAAGTATAGTTGCCCTAATCATAACCCTAGTTATTACGTCCCATGATCCTTTAAGTAGAGCCCAAAACCCTGAGTCCTGAACCCTGAACCCTAAATCCCCGAAGGTCGACGTTTCATGTGTTCGGCTTTACGGCTACGGGGTCGAAAGAGGAGTTTGAATACTCAGTAACATTGTTCCTCGGGGTTTAAGCTGGTCCATGTTGAGTTTAGTGTTCAGGATGTATGGCTTAGGGTTGTTGGTTTAACGAATGTGCCCATAAGCCCAAGCCTCATTACGAAGGCCCTTTTGTACTGTGCCCCATAAACCCTACGAAACGCTGTTCTGATTCTCAAGCCCAATATGGTACGATTTTTAAAGAGCTTTACCGTTTTAGGGCGCATGCTGTCGGGTTCAGGGGTTCCTGTCAGGTTTGGGAGGTTAGGCGCTTGGAGTGCCTGACTGCCGGAATCGCTGGGTCTTGTAGAGGCTTTTGGGGTAACCCGAAGCCCTAAGCCCAACTCCCTAAACCTAACACCTAAACAGTCCACAACCTCAAGCGCCAAAACCTTGCCTGTAGCCCAAACAAGAGCCTACCTTTTCCGGCTACTTCTTGTGGCTTCCCGGTAGAACCCTAAAGCAAGCAGCGAAACCCAAGGTAGAAGCCTGGATAATAAGCAAAACTCTTCCTGATTGTGGTGATCGTGCAATTAACCCCGAAACGCCATTCCCTTTCGGGGGTCCTTTTTATATAAGGGTACCGTACCGAAAACGAGACCCTAATCCTTAACACCCCTGCATTAAGTGTGCCCCGGTGATAGGAGATGGAGACACCGGCCACGGATGTATATCGCCTGGCCGCCATCGCGACACAGGCACCAGGGAGTAGGGCTTATGGTTTAGGATTCAGAGTTTGGTCAAGCAGGGTGAAGAGGATAATTGTTTCGGTATACGGCAAAAAAAAGCAGCGGTTTGGGCTCTCTCTGGTTGATCCGCAAACTTTGGCGGACATGTTTTTGACCTGTGCTTCAGGCTATGAGTCTCAACCTCCAAACTTTGGTTCTGACCTGAGCCCAAAGCCCTAAAGCCTTGATGCAAGGGTTGAAACAAGCCTAAGCCCTAAGCCCTAGACCCTACCCAGACAGTGAAGGAACATAGCTTAAACCATCGTATGAAGCCGTTTATAATTTAAGCCATATTCCTGAATTAAGGGGTATTGGGGTGTCTGGGTAAGACCTCACCCTGAACCCTGAAAGCCCAAACTCTCAACCTTCAGCCCCCCGACCGGAGCCCTCATTCCCTGAATCCTAGCGTCCAGGGCAGACACCTGAGCTACCCAGCCTCAAGCCCCTAACCACCTGCTCCTAGACCTCAAACCCTAAGCCCTAAACCCTAAACCCTTATCGTAAACCGCCCTCCTCATGCCCAGAGAAGGATAGTATGGTGATATACTCCGAAACCCTAGTCTGCTTAGGCCTGAAACCTGAGACCGTTAGGCTTTATGCACAGAAGCCCAGAAATACGAGAACCTGGAACCCTTCTTGCAAAATAGAAGGGGGTCGTGGGAAGTTTACGATGCTTGTGTATACAGTGAAACATGTAGCCTTTTCCCGCCTTCGCTTCTTTTGCCAGGCTTGGCATTGGTTCAACATGACTTTTACCTCAACTGGCAAAAAGGCCACCACTCCCCGGCCGGACCACACAATGTTTCCATTACTTGGGAAACCTTGAGCTACAGGTCCTCGAACCCAACAGCCTTCAACGCCGCAGCACCCAAATCCCGACCCTGAACCCTTATATCTTGCGAAGAAGTCACTTACCCAGCACAGGTGTCTAAATGGTACGGAGCTTTACGCATTAGATTTGTGGAAGATTTTTTGCGGTGCGGCTTTTCTGAGACCGTCCAACTCGTCACAGAAGTTCTGGACCATGAGCATGATCAGTATGTCCAGGGGCGCTTCCGAAAGGGCCACAGCAAGATCCCGCGCGTGCAGGTCAAGGAGCAATGGTTCATCTTGACGGCGATGAGCTACCAGAAAACTCGGACCTCGCAACGCTCGCACGTCTCGCAAAGTGCAGCAGCACAACGCGCCCTTGCACTATGGCAAGACGGCCCTCAATGGAATTCTGGCAAGCTTGCCATTCAGCCTACATGGCCGCACAGATTTCTACGCGGCACACTGGGTGCAGAGGCAGTGGATGCAGGACAAAGCCCACCGCCGCGCCCTGCCCATTGCATTTATTCCAAGATGAGGTTCACCAGGAAGTGCTGCAGTCGTAGACCCCTACGATAGGCATACGATTTTGGGGCTTCCATGGGTACCTTATTATACTTACAGTGTACCCCATAACCGCGATCTCAGCCCCTATATTATATCGACCCTTTGAAGGAACCCAATTCTGATTATTAAGGCCCCTAAATTAGGCCTTAAGCCCTATACCGCAAGGTCTGAAATTTACGAGTCGCAGTGCCTCAGTGGTGTGAGGTCTGATTGAACACCATGTAGATGCTGAAATGGGGTTTAGGGGTTCAGGGTTTTAGGGTTTGGCCTATGGTTTTTGATAGGGTTCCTCGGAAAGTCAGATTTTCATATCCCGCCACTCTATTCTATTTCTTCTGGTCTGTACATCAGGTCCATGTGGATTTGCAACTTACAGGCGTCTATAAGGGTGAACAGTGCGATCCCTTGCTGCAAGACATCCAGGGCTCTAGGGCATAGTTGAAGGCCTATGTGTAGTATGCGAGCAGGGTTTCAACGACTTGCTTTTCTTGGGATTTGCCAAATACTGCTACAACTTTTTGGACGTTGCTAGGACTCAAACATCCTTAATCATACATTCTAAGCCCTGAATCCAACCTCAAGCGCCAACCCCTAAAGCCCTGCCGAGACGTTTACGGGCGAGCCGTTCAAGATGGAACGCACTCAGGACTGGCCAGGGTCTTTTACTGAGGCCTTGTTTCTTGCGTGAAGATCTTTTGGGTACAGGGTTTAGGATTCTAGGGTGCAGGAGTTTAGGGGTTTCGGAGTTTGGGGACCGGAGTTCATGGTTTTAGGAATTGAGGGTTCAGGAATGTAGGGTTTACAGATTAGGAACTTTGGTGGAGGGATCAGGAATTTAGTGTTTCGGGAGGATTTAAGGTTCAGGTGTTTAGGGGTTCAGGGTTTAGGCTTGGTGCATGCGTGAGATCAGGACTCCGTCCCAAACCCAGCGAAGAACGAACAGGTCCGTGAAGGCCTTTACACCCTACATCCTAAGCCCTAGACCCGAAGCCCTAGATCCTAGACCCTAAAACCTAGGCCGTAAACCCTAACTTGCCAAAGGACGCCTTTTGGAAAGGGCGTTGGGTCATTTCATGACCCGAGGCGTAAGCCTTCAACCGCCACGGAGAAATCGAGAAAGGATGCCAGCCTGTCAATCCCCACACCCTAGACCCTAAACTCTACACTCCCTAGACCCTACAACACCTTGAACCATCAAATCTATAGAACCTAAACTCAACACCAAACCACACTAAAGATTCGTTTCTGTTCGATTCGTAACCTGGTGGAAAGGAGCTCATGACGACCCTGCGGTGCCTTAGCTTCAAAATTCTTCGGGATGTGGTGATCAGGGCTTTGAAGGGTTTGTGTTGATGTGTGGGGTTCAGGGTTTGTGTAGATGATCGGATATGTTTTCTCACGTCATGACGCTTGCATCATTGACACCTCTGCTTGGGGTGGTATGGCCTGTTCGGCATCTCTGTGCGAATTTCGGCGAGCACCAACATCAAGCTTCACGGTCCCTTCGGTGCGTTTTGGCCCTAAGCCCATCCTGAACCCCATGCCCTATGGTGCCTCATTCGGAAATTCCGTTTTCCAGCGCCCTCATATAGGGGCCTTGGTAGTTGCCTGTACTGATTTGAGGGGTTCCTCATTGTAATTATCGTATGGCGGGCCCCAAACACCCTAGTCTAATTATTAAGGCCCCTATATTGGAAGCTGCCCCCACCCTGTAATAGTGACTATAAGGATTATATCAGGGCCCTATTATACCCCTGTTATACAACTATTACAGGGTGGGGGCCCCTTCTAGCCCCTATATCAGATCCCCAAGCCCACAGACACGAAACTTTCTACAAAAGGAGCCTCCACTGTAGATGCCCCCTCCCTAAGCCCCTAAACCCGTCACCGTAAACAAAGAACCCGTATGTCCCACACCATGGACGCAGCGATCCAAACCCTAAACCCCGAAACCCCGAAACCCCTAAACCCCTAAACCCTAAACCCCTAAACTGCCCTGAACCCTAAACCCTAAACCCCTAAACCCCTAAACCTTAGGCCCCAAACCCTAAGCCCTTGGCCCTCAGGCCCTAAATCCTAAGGCCTTGGACGTTACTTCCTACATGGGAGTTTCAGAAATTTTGGGGTACCGTGTTTACTTTTTCTTAGGGTCCCCTGTTTTCAGAAAATCTCAAATCCGAAGACCGAAAATATCAAATCCGAAGCCCTGCAAAACGTCTGAGCGCCTCTTCGAACTCCGTAAAGCCCCTCTTCAAGCCATTGAACACCCCTGGGTATCACTGCACTACCTTAGCCTACCAAACCCTACTTTTTTTTGTGGGTTCTTATTATAAACCTTAGTATGGAATTTATAGGGACCCTACAAAAAAGTAGGTTTTGGTAGCTTGAGGTAGTCACAAAAACCCTTCAGGACCTCAAAGCATCTGTATTGAGCAACTGTAAGAAACATCGATAGGACTGCGCCAACACCCTACAAAACCGAAGGTGCCACTTCAACCTGAAAACTGCCTTAGAACGCCATAACCCCCAAACCCACCTCTAAAACCCCAACCCTAAACCCCTAAACCCCTAAACTCCTGCACTCTATCTAACACAGTAAGCCCTTAAACCCTAACAAGCCCTAAACCCCTTTATAGAACCCCTAATGGATCCCTTACTAAACTACCAAAGGCGCCTAAACCCTAAACCCTTAATAGATCCGTTAGGGCCCCTAAACTACCAAAGGCGCCTATCCCACCGAGCCCTTCTGCGGCGTGCTCGCGAGCGGAGCTGCTCTTTGGGCTGCGGGGAGGCGCCTGAGGAGCAGACGACCTGGTTTTGGGTTTTAGGGTTTGGGGTTTGGCGTTTAGGGCCTCGGGTTCAGCGTTTGGGGTTGAGGCTTTAGGGCTTAGGTTTAGGGTTTAGGGTTTAGGTTTAGGGTTTAATTAGGTTTTAGGGTAGGGTTTAAATAGGGTGTAAGGCTTGTGCCTAGACTAGATTTCCACTTGGGATGATTTATTCATTCCCTCATTGTTTACTATAACGCCCTAATTATGTAGATTTTGGGGACTGTTGAAACGGACACCTGGGGTGTGAAGGCTCTAAGGGCTCTTCCAGCCCTAAACTATCAAACCGCTGACTCAAAACCCTTGGCCTTAGACCCTACCTTAACCCTGAATAACCTAGTTTTTTAGGGTTCCTTATTATGATTTCTTTATATATGTCCTTAAAGAGGTAGGTCCTTCAGGGTTAAGGTAGACCTTACGCGCCCTCGAGCCCCGAAAGCGTTCAGAGTCTCGCGAAGGAGCTGGCGCAGGAGGTCGTGATCTTCACTGAGGTGCTCCTCTGGGTGGAATAGGGGTTCGCCACATGACATGTGCTTTGCGCGGGTTTGAAAAGGGGCTTTACGAAGAGCATCTTGGGAGATTTTGATCCCAGAAGATCCCTGCCAGAAGCTTCAAGAATCCACTCAACCCTTAGACGGGGCCCCCACCCTGTAATAGATTGTAATAGTGGTATAATAGGAATATAATAGGGCCCTCATATAATCCTTACAGTCACTATTGCAGGGTGGGGGCAGCTTCTAACTCAAACCCCAAACCTGCAAACCCAAGCCCTACCATCTGACAGATCCCTATACGAGCCTTACAGGAACCCTAACCCTGTACCCTATATCCTAAACCCCAAACCCTAAACCTTATAAACTAAAACAATGCCCAAAACCCTAAACCCTATATCCTCGACCCTAAACCCTTAATCCTAGACCCTAAACCCTATACCCTAGCAACCCGAAACCTTCCTCGCAGAGTTCTGTACCTCCACTTTCTCCAGGCGTTTCGGCAACTTCTCAAGGCCAAACATCAGTGGGTGAGGGCTTAAGGGTTCCTTCAAGGGTTCTTGTAAGAGTTCCGTTAAAGCTAGGATTTAGGGATTTAGGTCTAAGGGTTCACAGTTTAGGGCTTTAAGGCTCCTATAAGGCTAAGGGATCTACAAGGGTTCTATAAAGGGGCTTTCGGGGGTCTTGGAGGTTTAGGGGATGAGGGTTCAGGGTTTCAGGCTTCGGACTAAGGTTGTAGGCCTTAAAGTAAAAGCCAGAAAGCTGGAATATGATTATCCTAAACCCTTTATGGTAAAGTATATGGTATCCTACCCTGAAACCATATTCCAACTTTCTGGAGTTCCCTGAAAGGCGGTATATTAGGCGGTCGTCCACGGTCCTTAGGATTCTTTTGGCCGTTCAGTGCGACGCTAACCTACGCTGTTTGCATGGGTGGAGTTCAGATGTGTGGTTTGACAGTGTCGAATGTGCTGCTTCAGTCATTTGTCTCCGTGTGTGAGTGCGCGAGTGCGTGCGTGAGTGAATGAGTACTATAGGCCGGCGGCCTTAATAATTAGCTATACTATTTTGGGGGTTCCTTATCATAAACATAGTAGAACGGGACCCAGAAACCCTATTCTAATTAAGGGCCATATCTTCTAGAACCCGACTATAGATCCCTTACAAAGCCCTTTAAAAAGGAATCCTTTAAAGGGAACCCTATTCTAATTATTAAGGCCCCTGTTCTACTGAGCGTGTCGCAACTCATTATGGTGCCCTAAACCCTAAACCCTTAAATCCCTAAACCCTAAACCCCTAAATCCCTAAACCCTGAACCCCTAAATCCCTAAACCCTGAACCCCTAAATCCCTAAACCCTGAACCCCTAAATCCCTAAACCCTAAACCCCTAAACCCTAAACCCTGAACCCCTAAACCCTAAACCCTTAAACCCTAAACCCTAAACCTCTAAACCCTAAAGTCATTATGACGTCCGCTTGCGACTCCAGGTGAAAATTTCAGTTCCACCAACACAGGGATTGGAGCCCTGGTCCCTTGGCAGCGAAATCCTCATATGGGAGTTTCCGAAAATAGGGGGTACCTTATTTGGGGTCCTTATAATAAGGATCCTACTATTTAGGGTACTATACTAGGGTCCCCTGTTTTCGGAAACTCCCATTTTGAGCCCCCGGGCCCTTGTACAAAATTAAGGAGGACCTGGGTGACGTGGGGTTTAGGGTTTAAGGTCTAGGTCATATTGAGAGAGAGCAGGTCTTCGTACAAAAACTCATGAGGACCTAGGTTGGTTGGGTTCTCGGTGGTTGGGAATCCGGCTTTCAAGACAACAGCTGGACGATCGTGGGATTTCGCCAGCGTGTTTTTGAGCATATGACTGTGCAGGATGACATAGCACGAAACTTCTGATGCGGTATGTCTGAACTGAACTCGACACCCAGCACGATGCCAATGCATTCCTTCGCACCGTTGGCCTGGAATAAAACATTGAGGAATGTGAAAAGTGGTCAATCCAGAAGGCAACAGAGCAACTAAAGCTTGAAGCTTTCAAGACCCCGTGAAGTTTGAGGAAATCACACCGAGCTCTTCATTACCTCAGACATGCAGACAGTGATCCACATGAGTTGAATTCGGTGAGGTTAGCATCCTGCTTGGCGCGTGATCCAGCAGAGCGTCTGTCGACTGCATCGGAGGCGCGCCCCTGCGAGTTTTCGAAGGGTTTTTCTTGAAGTAAGGGTTGGTCATAATTAGGATAGGGTTTGCGGCTTAGCGTTTGGCAAGGAGTCTTACAACCACAGCGCCGTCAACATCTTTGGATGCAGCTTCACCTTTCTTTGTATAGTGGTCTCTGTCTTTATGTGCATCTCTGGTTCCATCTGCTTCTGCCTCTTCATCGCCATCGTCATCGTGCACTTTATCGTCACCATGATCGTTCTCATCACAAGCATCATCAAAAGAATAATCTGGACGATCGCAGTCATCGTCGTGAGCATGTCAGTAATTGTGACTATCATCATGACGACGGCCATTTCCATTATCATATCATACCAATGGTCGGCGTCGCGGCCTGTTCATGGTGCATAGCGAAAAGTTTCGCCCTGCTCAATGCAGTATCACCTCATCGTCATGTTCATTGCCACAGCCATTGCCGACATGTATATTTTTGGTACTTTCTATCATTCCCCTGCCCTTCACCTTAACATACCTAATTACCCATTTTCAGCATCGTCAAGGTCTTGATCAGCATTATCATCCGAATCTTCTGCTTCGTCTTATCCAGAGTACTTCTTCATGTGCAGTGGCATCACTGCTGTTGTTATCTCAATTACTACTTGTGGTATCCGCAGCAGTAGCGTCATTGGTCGTCGTGGTGGTGGTGGTGGTGGAGGTCGCCGTCATAGCGGCAGCAGAGGAGGAGGAGTAGCATCAGCAGTAGTAGGTTCCATTTCTTATTGCTGCTGCTACTACTACTACGACGACTACTACTACTACGACGACTACTAGTACTAGTACTAGTACTAGTACTGGTACTAGTAGCACCAGCACCAGCTCTAGCGCTAGCACCAGCACCCGCACCAGCACCAGCACTAGCACTCGCAGCAGCGCTCGCACTAGTGTCAACGGTTGCCACTACTGTTACCACTGCCACTGCCACTACCAAGGCCGCTACCACGACTGCTACAACTACCACTACCGGAGCCGCGCCGGTGCGCTACTGCTACTACATGCATCATCCTTGCTACTGTTGCTAGAGGCGCTTGAGCTGCTGGGCCAGCTATGGTCCGAGACACAGGCCCCGGGTGTTTCTACGGAAAGGTGTCAGAGCAATTGGAATAATCAAATAGAAATTTTGGGTTAAGGGTTTAGGGGTGGGGTGTAGGGGTTCAGGGGAAATCATGGACAGCTAGTTTTCGCTGCTCGGTTGCGTATTCGGGTATTAGAAGATTGTTGTAGGGTTTCAAAACGGGGTTTAGAGGGCTCCATAAGGTGTTATAGGGTTACGGGACCATCATCGCTCAGGGTTCCTGAATACCAGTCTGATCTTTTGTATACCATCCCTCAAGTTGCTCGAGAAGCCCAGCACTGCAGCACCTAAGCAGTTCAGGTTTGATTGGTGTGTTGTAGATGATTTCCGATGCTTCCTAGTCAGCCGGTGCGACTAGTTACTCAGCCACCAGTAGCAACCATCGTATTGCGGTTACGGACATTGGTCGATGGTTGAACATTGGCCTGAGTCAGTCTCATGGCTCATGAAGGCGAGCCCGGTGTTCAAGCACAAAACGTCGGCGCGCCAATGGCTCACAGAGGCAGGTTCCGCGCAAGGACCGAGAGTCCCGCAATGTGTCAGCTTTTAGAAAACACCGGCCAAGACGAGATGAGTGTGCCCACCGTCGACACTCGCCATCTACGACATAGCCCGCCCACAAGGCCGACTCAGGACGACGGCATGGAACCATCTTTGAGGTGGAGGGTATCACCACCCCCCTCTCACGCAATATTCCGCGCGATACCTGTTGGGCTGGGAGAGTTTTGCAACGTTGGTACCACCGTGACCCCTTGAGTGGAGGAAGCAACAGAGCCATCCCAGGAGATTGATCCCACCTCCGCTTGTTAACCCCCTCATAACTTACATCTAAAGCTCCATACAGTTGATGATACAAATCCTGCATTACCCATAATGAGGAACATACCATAATTCCCATAGTCTAGGGCTAGGGTCATTAAGGGAATGCAGGGTTTATGTCATCAACCATGTCACACACGTCCGGTTCCAAGATCCAGGGCCTTCAAAGACCCTGAAACCCCGCACCCCTAATTCCCGAAAGATTCCAAAAGCACCCCCAAAACCCCGAAAGCACCCAAAGTTTTGATCGCCTTCTAAACCTTAACACCCCTTAACAAACCCCTCTAAAAACCCTAAACTCTAAATCCTAAACATGCAACGGCCCCAACAGCCCTTCCCTGGCCAGCGAAATCCAACACTTGCCTATGAACAGGCTTTAAGCCCGCGACTAGGATCCTGATTGCATCATTTTAGGCATACCTTGACGTAGCACAACCTACATATTCGTGTGGGGTCCTCATACAACCCGTAGTAATGTCAACGAACTAGGGTCTTGCAGAAAATTCGGATATGTCATTTCCTAAACCTTACGTAAACCTTACGCCCTAAACTCCAAAGTCAAACTATAACCCCAATCCTTAAACCCGAAGTCTAAGCTTTCCATCCTAAACCCGAAACCCTTAAAAACCATAGACCTTACAACCCTAATCCATCTGTGGTCGAGGCACAGCTGCTGAAACTCCGTCAGGAGGAGCCTGAAGCTGCAACGACCACAGACGCCACGGAGGAGACCGAGGCGAATCGGAAGAGGGCTTATTGGTGGTGTACTATCAGAGTTACTGCATGGAGAATCGTGCAAACTTGCAGAGACCTACTTCTCGTTCTGTGGGGCTCCTTAAGATAATCATGCTACAACCGCAGCCCTGCTCTAATCATTGATGCCCCGGCATTAGGTGCCTTTGGGTCGCCTTTTCGAGGTATAGTTAGGATGCTTCGGACTGACTGTTCCCAAACCCCCTAAGCTGAAGCTCTATACCCGAAGCTCCACACCCCTAAACCAGAGAAAAGCATGCCCTCAAAGAGAAAGTGCGCACCCACAACCCTAAACCCCAAAGCCTCAAAGCCTTGAACGCTGAACCCCAAAGCACTGAAGCCCTAAAGCCCTAGGCCGCAAACCCTAAACCCTAAAGCTCTGAATCCCCTAAACCCTAAAGCCCGAACCCTTAAACCGCAAGCCCTAACCCGAAAGCCCCTCAAAGGAACCCTTGAAGGAACTCTTAAAGGAACCCTTAAAGGAACGCTTAAAGGAACCCGTAAAGGAACCCTAAAGCCCTAGACCCCAAAGCCCTAAGAAGAGAAGGCCACGGAGAGCAGCTCGGAGGTCGCTGCCGCGCGGCCTTGACTTTCTTTTCTGGGTTTGGGGTTTTAGGGTTGAGGTTTAGGGTTTAGGGTTTAGGGTTTTGGGTTTAGGGTTTTTGGTGGGGCTGTCTGGGGCATCGCAGGTCATCTCTCCTCACTATGTGCGAATGCATGTATTTCTGCATTTATGCACATGTGTACTTATGTGCGTGTGTACGTAAGTAAGTAAGGTATGTAGGTATGTGTGTATGTATGTAGGTATGTATGTATGCATGTAGGTCTGTATGTATACATACATAGAGAGATGAGGGTGGTAAGGGTTTCGTAAGGCATTTTATTAGGGCTTTATAAGGGGTTAACAAGGGCCCTGGAATCCAGAAGGTTTTCGGCCGGGGTTGGGCAAGGGTTCGAAAGAGTTTATATATCCTGATTTTATTTACGTGTTTATTGATTTGTCTTTGCTTAGTTTGTTGTTGTTATTACTCTGCATGTATGTCTGTGGGTATATATGAATGCATGTAAATATTTGTCTTGTTTTCAGTCCTTGGGAGGGAGGAGTGCTGTGTTTTTGATTCTACAGCTGTGTAAAGAGCCGGGCTTGGGTGTTCTAGAGTGTTTGTTACTTGGAGGATCATGGGACTTAGTAAGTATGCTCATAAGTACCTTAAGAGGGGTTAGAAGTAATTATAAGTATAGTAACCTTAGTTATAACCCTAGTTGCTAGCTCCCATGATCCTTGAAGTATGTTCTGTTTGGGGGTTTGGTGCAAGCAGGGTTTAGGGTTTAGGGCTTTTTCTGCTCGTGGGGCTTCTATGGCTGCAGAGTTCTATAAGGCCACGGGTGAGGGCTACAGGTCTGTAAGCCGCTTAGGGTGTAGGGTTTAGGGCCTGAGGCATTAGGGGCATGAATCAAGGTGTTTGGAGGTTCAAAAACTGTGGACGCCTTATTAACAAAGGCGCTCGTTTCGAAGGTGTTAGGCTTTAATGTTTAGGGTTTAGGGCGTTAGGGTTTAGGGTTGCATGTCTGCGGGCTGCCTACACAGGAAGTTGCAGTCTGCCGGAATATTTCGAAAGCCACCTGACGGATCCTTCAAAACGTAACCTGCATCCCTAAACCCTGAGCATCAACACCTATACGTATCCCAAACCCTCAACCCAACCCTAAACTCCAAGCCGACTAGGCCGCAGTTCTAGCTTTGCACCTTATGACAAACAGTTGCCATACTACCTACAGGAGTACGCTTGCTTCCAAAGAGAGCAATCTCAAGCTCCATTCAGGTGAGGCTTCGTCGCGAGCGCCTTGAGTTGGAGTCGCCGGAGTTGTTGCACTTTGGCCGCATGAGGATTTGATTTTATGGGGCTGACATGGCCAGTTGCCTAGGATGCCCAGTAGTACCCTTATTCCCTTTTTGTAGTCCTAGTTTCCTTATAAAGTTACCCAATACCAAAAAGAGAGGCCCTTTTTATTCTTAGGTTACTGCGTATCCTAGTTGCGGGGCTGCTTTGCATCGGCACTTGGAGGATCATGGGACTTAGTAAGTAAGCTTATAAGTACCTTAATTGGGGTTCTAAGTATAGTTACCCTAGTTATAACCCTAGTTATTCAGTCCCATGATCCTCTAAGTAACCTAAAAGCCCCTCTTATAGAGCCCTTTTAGATCCCTTTTATAAGGAACCCTTTAAGGAACCTTAGTTATTAAGTCCCATGATCCTTGAAGCATTGCTTCCCTTGAGAGGCGTTCCAGCCGAAGCCTGAAGCCCCGAACCCCAGCCCTGAACCTTAGGACCTAGACCTACTTAAAACCTCAGGGGGGTGGTGGGGGGGTGGTGGGGGGTGGTGGGGGGTGGTCGGGGGTGGTGGGGGGTGGTGGGGGGTGGGGGTTTAGGGCCTAGCCTAGGGTTTAGGGGACTTCTGTCGTACTTCTTGTCAAGGCTTGTGGGATTTGCAACGGCTAGGTTTGTTTCGGCGATCCCGGTGCAGGATTAGTGCTACTGGTGATATGGCATTTTCATCTTGGACGCTATCAAGTAGACGAGGTTTCCCTTTCCTTCGGGGTTGCCTCGCCAAAACAGGATACTCGCTGTTTCCCCATCGAAACAGGAAATTCGGAGTTTCTGCACCAAAGTTGGATAATAGCCAAAGGGGTATGTACCTTTATCAAAAGGAATATCGGGGAACGGCCTCTAAACTAGTCTAAGCCCCGGAACTCCAAATCCTGGAACCCCCAACCCCTGAACCCTCTAGTCGAGTTCCGCCATGAGAACCCAACCCTCAATGAGAGGAGGAGTAGTTGAGAAGTAGTCGTCGTTGCCGTCGCAGTGGCGTTGTAGTGATAGTGGCAGTAGCAGTGGCAGTGGCAGGCATACAGCAACCGTCATCCTCATAGCGACAGCATTGGTGGTAGTAACTGTACCGTTAGCAGCCGCAGGATAATAGTGGCGTCAACTTGACAAGCGCGCAACCATAGGAGTAGTCACAGTTCGAACAAGGAGTCGGGCGTCTCAATAGAGCGAAACCGTGCGCCTCAAACTCCAAGCCCAGGTTTTCCAGAACGGCTATGTCTTGTACCCTAATCCCGAAACCCTCAACCCCAACCGTCTCCGAAGGAAAGAGATGACAATTCTCTGAGATCCTCCTTGACCTTGCAGCGGATCACTTCAGTTGACAGCTCATATGGTTTGCACAAACAGTAGGCCCTAAATCCTAGAACCTGCAAAACCCCGACACTCCGAGTACTACGCTTTAAAACCCTCGGAACAAAAAAGCCGGTGGCCCAAGCCCTCAAGCCTTAAACCCTGAACCTTAGCATAACTCGACAGCATCTGGCTCATGCGATTGGTCCCGGGCTGGTGTGTTCCGCCAAAACTTGGAGTCCTCGGGTTCATGGTCACCCGAGGGCCTAGAAACCCTGCTCAATCACTATTACACCCCACAAGCCCTCAAGCCTACAACCCTAAACCCCTAGTAGAGGGGGCATGGGCCGAATCCCAAGAGCTTTCCTTACGGCTTTTCGGTCCCCTTGCAAGCTTTTTGAATTGGGATTTAGGGTTCAGGCTGCAGGGTTTCGGATTTTGGGTTTAGGATTTGTAAGGGCTGCACGAGGTTGGAGCATGAGAAGGTCTTATACTTGGTAGTGGTGTTTTTGCAAGACTAGAGTACTTCATTGTGGTGGTTCATACTTCATAGGGGTCCTTGTTAGGCTGTAAAGTTTCATACTCTGTAAGGGTGTTGCAAGGTCAGAGTATTTCAGGATTTTATATTTTGCAGTGTTTTTACGAGTTTGGGTATTTAGGTTTTGATATTCTGTGATGTTTTTGAGGTTACAGTATAAAGGGCTCTCTATTCTGGAGTGGACGGCATTTTTTGGTTTCTTGTTTTGGTGAGCTTCGTCAGGTTTTGAAGTATGAGAGCAAATAGCTCGCTAACCTTACTACAGTCCCTATCCCTATCCTATGAAGTACGAAACCATATCAAATTCTAGCCTTGCTTAAGCCATTACAAAGAATGGAACCCTCTCATAGTTAAACCTCGCAAAGCCGCTACAACATCCTATAAAGCCCGGGTTCCTAAACCCTAAACTCTGTCCCATAAAGCCCTTGCAAAAGCCCCAAGCCTTCCAAAGCCCTGAGCTTAAACCCTAAACCCCTAAACCCCTTAACCCCTAAACCCCTAGACCTTACCCCTCAAGTTAAACCCCAAACCCTAAACCCGGAGCCCTAAACCCTAAACCCCTAAACCCTAAAACCCAAAACCCTAAACCCAACCCAGATGAGCTTTCTTTGGCATCATGAGTGCGCCTCGGGCACCTGCCAGGAGTCCCCTGGAAACCTCCTATTGGGTTCCGGGTTTAGGATTTTAAGGTTTAGAGTCTAGAGTTTAAGGTTTAGGTATATAGGGTATACAGCTTAGGGTTTAGGATACTCTAAACCCTAACCCCTAAACCCTCTTAAGGTTTAGGGTTCAAGGTTTAGGTGTTTAGGGTATGCAGTTTAGGATTGTGGCCGCCGCATCTAGATTTGTCTGTCTTAGGCTCGCAACAGATCACTGGAGCTCTTTTTGACGCCGTGACTGACGCCCTGATGCCCGATGCCATAGAACCTCTTGAACAATCGAAGAGAGACCACTTTAGACATGTTCCAGCCCCTCAACTGGCCAAATAGCTGATTTTAGCAGAGTTTCGTGGTACATTACTAGGATGCCCAGTAGTACCCTTATTCCCTTTTTGTAGTCCTAGGTTCCTTATAAAGTTACCCACCTAGATTATGGTATGACTGTCGCATAAGGCCAATAGGTTCCTGCGCTCGTGACTGGTGCTCTCGCGGTGCAGCGATAATGTCGGACCGCTTGTAGGGCTCGAGATCGATTCCTCATGGGTGTGACGTTGATACGGTCGATCCCCTCTGAGCACCTCAAGCACGAAGTTTGTTGAATCAACGAACCGTGGAGCCTTGTATACCTGTAAGCCCTATATGATATATGGGTGGTTGTTAAAATTATGGTTCCTTTTTGGGTCCCTATTAGTTTTTGACAAATACCCATGTAAACAAGCGAGTCATAGGCCCCCAACGACTTGCGATTTCGATTTCATGGCCCACGAGCGCGGTGCCAAGTCTCACCTCCCTTCCAACCGGGAGCCGCGCCAAACCGGTCTTTGCGAGGGTGAGAAAGTCCTCGGTTTAGGGTTTAGGTTTTATGGGGGTTGTCGGATGGACCGCAAACCCGAAACTCTAAGGGCGCTCTACAGGCCTCCAGAAGCAAAGCCAGTAACCATGCTTTATTGCTCTGGCTTGAGTAACCCCAAACCGTATGGGTATACTATAGGGGCCCCAAAATAAAAGTGAAAAATGTTGTTCCCAAAGGTTCCTCTTTCTTCACTAAATTCATAGTAGATCTTTCCCCAAAATCCGGTTCCAATAATTGAGGCCCCCCATATTGGGTGAAGTCTAAGACTCGGTTTCAGGAGCGCAATCTGTGTTTGGAGGAGCGGCGGAGCAGGGTCTCATTATCTAAGGAGCCTTACATAAGGGGTTCAGAGTTTACAGCTGAGTTGTTGTCAAAATAAGGGTCCCTTTTTGGGTCCCTAATGGAGTACGGCACCTAATATTTAGGGTACCCCAAAAAGGGGCCATAATTTTGACAACCACCCAGGCATATAACCCTACAGCGGGCTAGAGGTTTAAGCGGAACCCTACTTGGTATCAGGCCCAAAGCCTCATCGGCTGTCAGTGTTTGGGATTTACAGCATGGGTGGCACTGCTGGGCGGCACAGGCTTTTTGGAACAATCTCGGACACCCGACAAATTTCACCGGCGTACTGTTCGAGCGTTTTGGTTTTCGCACTGGAGAGTACGTCAGATGGGAGTTCGAAACAAACTGAACACTAAATCCTCATCTATACCCTCGCGCAGAATTTACCCCGTATAAATGTCGATCGACCCTTATCAACCTCAAACTTGTATAAATCCGCCAATAGCTTTGAGTTTGCCTTCCAGGCAACACTGATGATCGGTCCGGGTTCCGCTACCGGCAGAACTGCAGCTCAGCTTCGGGGCCAGGACGTTTTAAGTTACCCTAAACCCTACACCCGCTTAGCTTTTAGGGTTAATCATGGCGTGGTAAAGGTGTTCCGCAGCTCGGGTTTCGGGCATTTGGGTGCTGACCTGACGATGTGCGTTGTTGGATAAGTATAGGGCGGGGCTGAAGACCTATCTCGTTTGCGAGAAGTGCCTGCTTTGCTTCGCAGTATTCAGAGTTTCGGGCTTCGGGGATTTAGGGTGGCTGCACGGTTAGTGCCACAGGTCTGGGGCATACATATCCCGTCTGTAGGAGGTCAGATAATGCAATCCGTTGCCATCAGGACCATAACAGGAATTCAACATGACACATCACTGTAGCGTTGCGGGTTGCCAGTTCAGCTGTTGATCTTCTGACTGAGAATGCAGGCATGACTGTGCGCTTATTCAGAAACACGAACGACTAAGGATCAATTTTACATGCTGTACATATCACGCGCATGCACATACACATGCTCAGACACCTACATATTGGCACGCAGACATACGGGCATATAGCCATACAGACATGCATGCATGCCTGCATGCATATATGCATGCATACATAAATAAGTATACACCTACGCACTGCTGGCGTGGCAAATACATATTAGTATGATGATGTTGGTGAATCCCCAAAGTGCTGCTGAACATCATAAGTACGCTCACATGACCAGGGTGGGGATGCTGACGGTGATGATGATGATGATGATGACGATGATGACGATTGAGCACCAGCACATCGAACGAGTCTCTCCGAGAGCCCACAAACTTCTGCAAACCGAGAGCCTGCACCCACACATCCCTAAACCGTAAGTCCTAAACCTAAACCCTAAACTCTTTTGGGCAGCCCTTGCGGCTCATTTACGGATGGGTTCTGCGAGCTGCAATAGCCGGGGAAAATAGTTGTAACGACCGACCAGGCTTTTGACAGGAGGTTTGGTCCCGAACGGCATTCAGGATGGTAGCAGTTTAAACTTTGTTGTACTCAACTAAGGTTTATTTACTGTATCTACTCGCACGCTATTTTGGCGCATAGTCTTTGACTTTCCATGCCTGTCGGAAGTGAAGTGGTCTGGTTGCGGAGCCATGGAAGAGCCACTCGAGCAGCCAACCGGCCAGCACCTCAAATCCAGATTGCTGGTCTTGGGGTATATTATACCATAATTACTGTAAGGAATGCCGCCCAAAAAATAGTATAGGTAATGATATAAGGAGCCTTTCGAAATAGTATAGGCAAGTATAAAGGCCCCCCATGACCCCCGCGATCCAGTAGTTTTAGTCTTTTTATGTGATTTTGGTTTAGGGTTTAGGGTTTGGGGTGTAGGAAGTTGAGCAATAATGTACGAACCTAGTTAAGAAATCCTGGTCTTATTTTCCCAAACGAGTAGGGTTCATATCCGGAGCCCTAACAAAGGCCCAAGGTTTCTTAATCAGGTTCCTACATTAGGAACCTAGTTAAGAAATCCTGGTCTTATCATCCCTAAATTACTAGGATCCATGTTATATAATGTTGGAACCTGATTAAGAAACCCCGGGCCTGTAACCCCAAGGTTGTAGGATTCATATAAGGAACCCTCATAAGGGCCCAAGGTTTCTTAATCAGGTTCCTACATGGAACCCAGTTAAGAAATTCTGGTCTTATAATCCCAAGATTCTCGGATCCATGTTAGGATCCTGAACCAGGTTACTAGATTATAACCGTCAATCCACATTAACCCAGAGACTCCAAAACCCGGAATGTACCCGAAATTCTGATAGGTTCCCAAATATGATTTAAGGTATCTTCCTCAATTAAAGGGTTTTGGAGGCTCTGGGAAGCTCAAGTTTCTTCAAGTCCCGGCCGCCGAAGCCTGACCGTAACCTCTAGAGGGAAGACCCTGGACTCTAAACCCTCAGCCGAAAGCCAAGCACCGTCTAATCCCTAATTCCCTAAACATGAAAGCTTAATATAGGTACAGGAGCCACAATAATTACCTATACTATTTTGCTGGCTCCTTATTATAACTACAGTATAACATACCCCAAACCCCATTCCAATTATTAAGGCCCCTACGTTATATAGAGCCCTGCTACAGGTACCTTATAGACCCCCTACAACTACATTACAATATGTACTCCACAACCCTATTCCCCTAAGCCCTAAACCCTATACCCCACAACCCTATTTCCAATTATGAAGGCCCTTACTTTATACTCGCCCAGGAGGGACCGAGGCGATGGCATCCGGGCCGGAGGTGGTCCGACTTCGGTCGTAGTTTCGTAGCATTGTCTCTGAGGGTTTAGGATTTAGGGATTTGGGGTTTAGGGTTTAGGATCTGGGGTTTAGGTTTAGGATTTAGGGATTTGGGGGTTAGGGTTTAGGATTTGTCCAGGGGATTTGGGATTTGGGGTTTAGGAGTGAGGGTTTAGGGTATTTCAGCTCAGGCTCTGGTTGGGTAGCTGGGGGGGTTTGGCACAGTGTACATCTGTGGGTTTCCCACAAATCCAGACCTTGAACCCTGATCTGCAAATCGGACCCTAAAACCTAGCTTTATTCTCTAAACCGGTTGATTGTCCGGCATTCCAGGTTTGCCACTTGCGAGAGTCGGTCAACTCTTCGAAAGATCTCATGCCACGTAGGAAGTTTTCAGAATTCCGGGACGGGTTCTGCAGAGTACCGGTTAAGGAATTAGGGCTGGCAGGGTTCAGTGTCTAGGATTTAGGGGTTTAGGATTCAGGGTTTAGGGTTCGCAGTATGTGTATTTAAGGGTTCAAGATACAACACCTAGTTCGAAAGAAATCCCACTCCACGCCCGAGGCCCTGTACGAAGTTAAACTCCAGGTCCGTCAGACCCAGCCACCAAACATTGCACCTCAAAGCTACCTAAAGTCTCCATTGTGGTTCCTTTCTGTGGTTTAGCATCTTGTCAGTTTATATAGGATCCTAGAAGATAACACAAAAAAGGAACCGCAATGGAGAGTATTCTTATCTTACATGTTCGGCTTGTGGCAGCAAGCTTCGAGGGGGGCTTCATTCAATTCATGAACTGCTTGGAGGATCATGGGACTTAGTAAGTAAGCTTGTAAGTACCTTAATTGGGGTTATAAGTATAGTAACCCTAGTTATAACCCTAGTTACTAAGTCCCATGATCCTTGAAGTGAGGATGAGGCACTGGACATCATCAGGTACTCCAGGCCTGAACTCTGCGTCTGCCTGAGAAAGTTGAAGCTGTCGAAGGAGGTTGTCAAGGCCTTCCGCGACCTCATCCGCCTTCGAGCTCCAAGCTAATGTAGGAACCTGATTAAGAAACGCTGGGCCCTTAAAATAATACGATTCATATAAGGAACTCTCATAAGGTCCCAGGGTTTCTTAACCAGGCTCCTACATTAAACTACACCGTTAAATTCGAGCAACTCACGGGCATCGTTAGCCTGACATGAACGCAACACTTGTTAATTTCCGGAGTGCAAGGCTCGAGTGGCTCAGGCTTGGAAGGGCTCCAGACAATTTCGCAGCTAGCTTGCTCTCCGACAGTTCTGACGACTCAGACTGATCGAGTCAGTAGCGCATAGGGTTTAGGGTTTGGGGATTCGGGTTTCGGGATGAGGGTTTAGGGTTCGGGGAAGCTATCAAGAGGTCAGTCTCATTTAGCAGCTTAGGTCTCTCGCGGTCCTCAATTTTGCGGGTAAGGACTTATTCAAGCTCCGGGCTTAGGGCCTCGGGTTTAGGATTGCACGGATACGGCGTGGTTTTTTGGGCATGCCGGCTTCCAAAATGTGGTTTCCTTGCCGAGTTCGCTCGTATTTTGTAGAGGACAATGAGCTTGATTTAGAGTTAAACGGTTACCCAAACCCGATTTTCCTTACCTTTCTGCGTCTCCTTGCTATGATTCCCTGGTATAAGTCCTCAGAAAGGTCGGTTCTTTAGGGTCTAGGTAGGGTTTAGGATGTAGAGTTGAAGGGCGTGCCGGTCAGGGATCCAGGACTGTGGACTGTACCTATAATCCCTAAACCCTAAGCCCCAATCCCTAAACCCCAAACCCTTAACCCCAAACCCTTAACCCTAATCCCTAAACCCTAAACCCTAATCCCAAAACCCAAAACCCTATAATCCCTACAGCCACAGCTCCAACTCTGGAGGACCATGAGGCACGCCCGGATCCCAGACACGGTTTTCTGGGTTCTTTTGAAGGAATCTAACTTAAGTTACCATGACATGTAGGGTTTAGGAACCTAACATAAATTATTATCATCAGCGGTTTACGGTTATGGAAGCTAACTTAAGTTACTATGATCAACGGTGTGTTCTAAGTTAGTGTAATGCACATCTGTAGTACATAGGATGGCTTCCTTATTATGGCAACCTAAAGTAAATCCCTTAACAAGAGCCCAGTTGTACAAGACTCACTACAAGGGCAAGGGTTCTCTTCAAGTTTTCCTTTTGTTCTATAAGGCTTACTACAAGGCTGAGTGTCAGGGTTTATAGGGTATACGGTTCTTGCAGTGGGCCCCTCAGGTGTACCAGTAGGTTTATTGTGCGGGTCGTAGGAAAGCTTACTAAAGTTCAAGGGTTCCTGTAAGGGTTCCTTCAATTGTACTATCCAGGATTCCTACCAGAGGATCTGTTTGTTGAGGAGTTACTATTATGATTGGTGGAAGTATCCCCTCCAAAACAGTATCTACTTGGGTTATAAGTCCCCTAGTAGCCCTAAAACGCGAATCCGAAGCTTGAACTCTCAACTCCGAACCTGGCCCTAACCTAATTTAGGGTTTAGGGTTTAGGGTTTAGGGTTAGTAGGAACCTGATCAAGAAACCCCGGACCTACAACCCCAAAACAGCAGGATTCATGTAAGGAGCCCTAAAAAGCACAAGGTTTCTTAATCAGGTTCCTACAGTAGCTTACACTCTAAAACCCTAAACCCAAAACCCAAAAAGACCCTGTTTCTATAGATCCCTTATAGACCCCTTTAAAAGGGCCCTATAAGGGAACCCTATTCTAATCATGTTAGCCTACGACCTGAATCCTTCCAGTCGCCTGAGGCATTCGCCAGCTTGAGGCCCTCGTCGAGTCCCTTCAACGGAGGCTTAGCGATATCGAGAGGCCCGGGCACCCAAGATCCGGGAACCCCAACCGGGTTTAGGGTTAGGGGTCTGGGGGTTTAGGGGTTCAGGGAAAGTTAAGGGGTTAGGGGTCCAGGGGTTTAGGGGTTTAGGGTTTAGGGTTTAGGGGTTAAGGTTTTAGGGGTTAGGGGTTTAGGGGTTAGGGACCCAACCCAGCATGCCCTTTAAACCTCCAATATAGGGGCTTGAATAACTGCCAGTACTATTTTGGGGGCTCCTTATTATAATTATATAGTATCATGGATTCCTAAACCCTATTTTAATTTGAAACGCTGCGCGTCGTCCGCCTCGGCCCGGCTGTACGCGCATGCGGCGAGTGGCTACTTTCTGCAGTAAGCTCTTGTAGGAAAAAAGTAAATTCCAGAAAGCTCGCACCTGTCAGGGGGAGGGGGGGGGGAGGGGGGAGGGGGGAGGGGGGGGAGAGGGGGAAAATCCACTGGAGAAGGCGAAAATTCAACGCCGGACCTTGGGGCTCATCGACACGTTTCCATTTTTTAGGGGGGGTTGGGGGGGGGGGGCGGTGGTCACTGGAGGAGGATTAAGAGGTGGGGAATAGAGGAAATCCGAATAGGAACCTCTGGCCGCTTCGGCCGGGGCCGAGGCGAACTATTAAGGCCCCCTATATCACCCCCTTTAGCCTCAGATCTCTCACCGCTCGCAAAAATTCCCCAAGCCCTGAAGCCCTTAGGCCCGGAAACTAATCGTGGCCTTAAACTTAGTTTCACCGGCTACCCTCCTGCCTTCTTGCTGTCAATTCCGCACATCGACAGCAAGCCAAACATTCCTGCATTGTTGAGCATATTTTTTTACTTGAGCCAAAACTCTGATAGAAACTCAACCGTAGGGCAGCCAAGAGACGATGAGTTGGGAGAAGTTGCTTTTAGATTCTCTTTCCCTCCTCACTTTGACACACCACCTTCGCACAGCTGCAACGGCCACGGGGCACACTGCAGCTTTCCGCTTCGCGTCCCTAAACCCTAAACCCTAAACCCTAAACCGTGTGTCGATGCTTGAAGGACAGAGTCTAGGGAGGTAAGGGTCCGGGGTTTGAGGTTCTCGGGTTGCAATGGCCAGGGTTTAGGGTTTAGGGTTTAGGGTATGATGAAGTGTACTGTGGTCATGACTGGCAAGGCCAGCAACTTGCTTTCCTTCGTGCCACTGGCTAGAACAATTCGGCTTACATGTGCAGATAGGTCGTTAGCCTTTTCAACTATGGGAGTTTCCGAAAATAGGGGACCCTAATATAGCACTCTAAGTAGTAGGAGGCCTATTATAAGGACCCCAAAATAAGGTACCCCCCAGTTTTCGGAAACTCCCATATGTCTCATCATGCCGACCTTAGGAGTGAGTGCCTCCTTCAGGGATTTCCCTTCCATCCGCTGCATGGTAGCAACGGTATCGAGAAGTTTAGGGTTTAGGGGTTAATATCGAGAATCGGTCAGGCCGACTCTTATTGTTTATGCCAGTCTTACTGTCCTGGCTTTCTGTAGTTTCCTTCTTTATATCGCTCTTGTGCTTGCAATGGTGGTGTGTAGGTTGCCATTTCCGACGCAGGAGTCACCTTCCCAACATCCCGAACGACGAGGCCGAGCGTAAACTCGAGACTGAGAAGCCCGCAAGCCTTCTTTTTAGGGTTTAGGGTCTTGGTTCAATTGCTGAAACCTTTTATGTACTGCGAATTGAAACTCCCCTCCTTAACAAAAAGCTTCAGGGCCATACGTGCCCCCCTCCCACCCAGCATTTGTTGGGTGTAGGTTTTGGTGCATTGTTACCGAAAATGAGTAGTATTGATCGTTACTCAGGCCTCAAGATCATGGTCTATTTTCAGTTTCGGATTCATTCCCGACTTCACAGCTTTCTGCCCTTGTACTTCAGTACTTTCGAAACAGGGTGGCCCCGATGCGTGAACCTTCGATGGTGGGGGAGGCACCTCTAGGCGGCGCGAGGTTTCGGGCGAACTTAACATTAGCGGTGAGGTCGTCGTAGCATTCCAGACACCACTACTGCTCCTTCTCCTGCTGCATGGTCCGACAGCAGAGTCAATGGGCAGCTCAGCATGGTGGAGGATGCGGATTGCGCCTGCGCGCGGTGGCGCCCTTGGCGGATGCAGCGCGCACCTTTGCTCGGGCGAAGGAAGTCCAGACAGATGTCTTGCTGGCTTGTGCCGAGGCCGGCATCGGGTCTCTGGAAGTGCTTGACATGGTGCTTTGCCACCACAACCCTCGTGCGAAGTGCCTTGATCAATGCTTGGTACGGCCAACTGCTGAGGTGCATGGAAGCGACTGTGGCATAGTCTTTGCTGCAGCTCGATCGCCTGCATCCAGGTGTGGCTTCTCTTTTGCTGCTTGGAGCGTGCTGCGATCTTCTTCGCCCATTCCGTGCCATGATTGGCATGTTTTTAATACGGTTTACATGTCTATATATATATATATATGCATATGTATATGCCTACACGCAGATGCACATATATATATATGTATATATATATATGTACACACATATGTATACACACACAGAGATGGGGAGAGAGAGATAGAGAGACACAGAGAGAGAGAGAGAGAGAGAGAGAGAGAGAGAGAGAGAGAGAGAGAGAGAGAGAGAGAGAGAGAGAGAGAGAGAGAGAGAGAGAGGGAGAGAGAGATAGAGAGAGAGAGAGAGAGAGACAGAGAGAAAGCCAGAGAGAGAGGTCTGTAGACCTTCCGTGTCAGAGCGCTCTCAGAAAATCAGAAGGTTGATTTGTGAGGAACCCGCGACCAATATGTAGACCCTAAACCTCAGGGTCTGAAATGACAAAGACGTACTATTATCCAGGGATGTCTACGTTTCCAAAAACCCAACATCAAGAAACGGATGAAGTCTTGGTGAAACCCTCTTCGGGCTCTGTCACCAAAATCCTAAACCCCAAAACCCGAAACAGTCAAAAGCCCTAGCAGACCCTAACAACCCAAACCCTACAGACCAAAAGCCCTAAAGCCCTAAAGCCCTGAAGCCCTAAAGCCCTAAAGTGGCCCAAGCGCGAGGCGTTTCAAGTCCAGGCTGAGAGCAAACTGGAGACCCCGACACCCGTCGTAAATGCGACAGAGGCCGGGTCTTAGATTGCTAGCTTCCCAAGTAGTAACCTTCCGCCCCTTTACCAGGAAAAATGGTTCTCTTAATATGAAGGGACACTTGGGAACCTGGATTTTGATACTTTGAGTCTAGGGTTTAGGGGGGGTCATGGGTTGGCGTTTCAGGGTTTGACGCTTTCAAGTTTGAGAGTTTGGTGTTAGGGTTCTGGTGTTTGACGGTCTGGGGTTTAGGCTCGAACAGGAACTGCTTTCTTGGAGTTTCTATGGTCTTACGGTATTCTAACGATTGTAAAGGACCTCCAGGGCTTCTCTTGATGCGGAAGGCTGTAACCCTAACCTGAAGCACTAAGTCCTGAAGCCCTAGACCCGTAGCCCCTAAATGCTAAAGACTAAACTCAAGGCGGAGCCTTGGTGGCTTCAGTTGAGGGCTTTTAAACTTGCCACGCCTAGACCCCAAGCTCGGAAACCACATATAGCTTGAGTGAGTAGATGAGGGTTTTGGGGTTTAGGGTACTATCTTAGTAGTAGAGTAGGGTCGGGCATCGTACTTTTGCTGGGGTCCTAGAATCCCTGTACAATCTCAAAGCTTAAGACTTTGGTTCCCCTTAGGAATGAGCCTTGAGGCCCAAGCCGGAAGTGTAAAGCCGAATCTATCCCTAAACCCCAATCCTACTCCAGATCCTGGAGCAGCAGGTTCTACGTCAAGACTCGGAAGACGGAAGTTGATAAACCCTGAACTGAGACTTGGTGTTACACCCTAAACCCTAAGCTGGTTTAGGGTTAGGGTTTAGGGTTTTACTTTAGGGTTTAGGGTGTCCGCCGTGATGAACCAGGTAATGGCTTAAAGTACGGGTTTAGATGGCAGGGACATTGGGCTTCGAGGGTTCGGGATATGGCGTTGACAGGGTTCAGGGTTAAGGTTACTTTCAGGCCGGAGGGTTGTACACCCCAGAATTAGGTGTTTTCTGAACATATAGGCACTATCTTGCTACTGGGCGAGTTCCAGAGCCACTAGTCGCCGATAAGTCAAACCCAAACCCCGAACCCCAAACCGATGCCTTGCGGAGCACAGAAAGAAGCCACTGCACTTAAAAAAAGAGCCGAAGCCGATGCCACAAACCCTGGAACTTGAACCACCGCTCAACCGGAAAAACGATGCACCCCCGAGCCCTTCCTGAACCTGAAAGACTAGGATGCCCAGTGGTACCCTTATTCCCTTTTTGTAGTCCTAGGTTCCTTATAAAGATACCCAATACCAAAAAGAGAGGCCTTTTTATTCTTAGGTTACTGGGTATCCTAGAAGATTATGCTAGAATATACGATTTAAGATCTAGAATACAACAGACCATGATATACTACGATCGTATTCTGTACTATGCCAAATTCAACTATGATATACTAGAATGTATAAATAGACTCTTTTGTTACAAGACTGTGCCCAAACCTTCAGTCACCTCCTTGCGAAGAGGTGCTGCGGGCTGAGGCGGCGTCGGGCAACCTGGATCTCCCCATGCCAGTCAAAGTCAGCGAGGCAAGCCTGAGACCCTTAACCCTAAAGGGAACTCCAGAAAGTTGGAATATGGATTAATGGTAGGATCCCCTATAATTTACCTTAAAAGGGTTACGATAATGATATTCCAACTTTCTGGCTTCTACTGTAATGCTTGGATCCGGGTTTAGGGTTCCTTTTTAGGGTACTATAGGGTTCTATAATAGGGTTCCTTAAAGGGATCTATAAGGGTTCTATAATGGGAGGATAACCCTAGGACCCAAAAAGCACATAAGCATAGGCATTGTATTGGGCTTGATTACAAGGGGGTTTATATGGGACGTCCCTTCGACTTCGACCCTTAACCCTAATGCTTGGAGGATCATGGGACTTAACAAGTAAGCTTATAAGTACCTCAATAGGGGTTATAAGTAGTTATAAGTATAGTTACCCTAATTATAACCCCATTTATTAAGTCCCACGATCCTGCAAGTGCGGTGTGGCTGGGATCGGTTTTATGTGATGGGTATGTGAAAGACGGAATGTCATTATGGCACATGGCTGGTTGTCAAAATTGTGGTCCCTTTTTGTGTCCCTATTATAACACGGCACCTATTATTTCGGGCACCCAGCAAGGGACCTTAATTTTGACAACTACCCACATGGAGTGCATGGTGCAGGATTTAGCGTGTAGGGCTTCTGATGTTCAGGGTGGAAGGTCGCGGGTGTAACAAATGCATCATTCCGCGAGAAGAAGCATCAAGTGTACATACATATATACATACGCATACATATATGTGTGCATATATATATATGTTTGTGTATGTATGTATATATGTACACACATGTTTATGTGTATACACGTGGCCTTTGAACTCGGACTTTGATCTCTAGATGCCGCGGGGTCAAGGTTTCGATGTTTTGGCTTAGTTCGTTAGGATTTAGGTTTTGAGGTTTAGGCCTGAATGTTTCGGGTCTCGCGGTTGGCGCTTCAATCTGGATCAGGTTCTTGTGCTCGTAGGTATTAAGTCACGTGCTTCCCCAAGACGAGTTAAACCGTAAACGCCCGGTTGCTACTGCCCGAAACCCATGGAGCTACCAAATACCGAAACATAATTTTTCGGTACTTCAACCTGCAGTGTAAGCTGAAGGTTCATGGGTCATGTGTCCACTGTGTCCAGCCCCGCCAACCATAACGAAACCCTGAGCAGCAAAGGGCAAAACCCCCAAAACTAAACACACGAAGCCCTGCAAACCCGGAGCTCTGAACCCTTCGCCCGAAAACCCTTATGGCAATCTCTAGGATACCCCTTCAACGTAACCCTAAATTCTAATCCCCAAACCCTACACCCTACAGTCTAAACCAAAAACCTTCAACTTCAACCCCAAACCCGATCCGATAGCCTAAACCCCCTAAACATATGGGAGTGTCGGAGAATGAGGGGTACATTATTTGGGGGTCCTTATAATGAGGATCCTACAATGTAGGGTAGTATTTTAGGGTCCCCTGTTTTCGGAAACCCCCGTATAGTTACCCTAAACCCTAAACCCTAGGAACTCATCAACCAGGGAGCCTTGAGCCCGATAAGCCCGGGAACGTCCGCGCGTGGCACACGCGCAGCTCGGGCATGATTTCGGTTTTTTTGTGCTTAGGGTTTAGGTAATATAGGGTTTGGGGGGGGTTTCGGGTCTCTGGGAGTTTAGGGGTTTTAAACCTGGGTTGAGTGTTTAGGGTTTAGGGTATGCAGGGTTTTATGGTTGAAGGACCAGGATTTAGGGTTTATAGGGTTTAGGGTTTGTAAGCCAGGGTTTGAGGCTTAGGGGTTTTTAAACCCGAGCGTCCCAACGGTTTTAGGGCCAAGGGCTTAACGCCTAAACATGCCGGTACCTTGATGGGTCGTATGGCGTTTGCATCAGTGTCAGCCCGACTACTCATAGAAGTACACATGCCCTAAACCCAAGCCTTACTACCTCTACTCTTGAACCTTGAACCCTAGACATTATCCCTGAAACCTGGCAAACAGAACCCAATATCTCTCGGCATCTGATGCCCAAACCTTGCGAATCTGAAACCCACTAGAGCTGAAGACTTCGGTTCAAAGGGGAAAGGAGGGACCCTTAGTGGGGACCCCTACCCTATAACGGGCTATATAATGGGTGCAGAATAGCTATAATATTAAGGGTATATACCTAGGGGTCCTTTGTTAAGGGTCCCTGCTTTTACCCCTGGATCGGTGCTGAACTGACAGTTCAGGGTACTCGAGGCAGGGTGTCGGGGTGAGGGCTGTAGGGCCGAAGCGATTAGGGAGTTTCCGAAAAATAGGGGTACCTTCTTTGGGGGTCCCGATTATAAGGATCCTACAATTTAGGGTAATGTATTAGGGTCCTCTATTTTCGGAAACTCCCGTTAGGGTTCAGGGTTTAGGGTTTGGGGTTTGCAGTTTGGGAAGCTTTGCCGTTGGATGCTCGACACAATTGCAATGCCATTAATCCATGCATAAGGCGTCCCCATGCCAATACAGACAGTTTTTCTCGCCGCTGCCTTCCTAGCCGCGGCCCGTGCAATCATCTGAGCCCTTTTAAAGCCCGTAGAGAGCGCTCCGGACAACCTTATACGCGAAACCCTGGCAGAATCGTTAGAGATCCTTTTAATTCAGACCTTTCAGACCCGAAAGCATTGTACCAGAGTCCCAAGCCACACAAAATCCGTGCAAGCAAAGCCTAATCACTCTAATCCCCAAGCGCTAACCCTAAAGTACCCTAAACATAAACCCGAATTGCCCGAATCCCGAAACCCTAAACCCCAAATCCTAAACCCTAAACCCCCTAGACCCCCTAAGCCCTACATCCGAAACTCTACACCCTCAACCCTAAACCCTAAACCAAGCCCCAGCTGAGGTGAGCTACACGGAGGTGGACAGAAAAGCTCGAGAAAGCTACGAGTGGCAGGTCTCCTCCTAAGGGCTCTTCAGAGGGTTACTCTTAGGGCTTCAGGGTTTAGGGTTTAGGGTTCCCTTTAAGGTTCCCTCTAGGGATTACTATAAGAGATTCAGAACGGTACTATAAAAGGTTCAGGGTTTAGGGCTTAGGATTCTAAGGGGTTAGGTTGCAGGGTTGAGGGAATCGGATTCAGGGTTTAGGGTGTAGTCTTGAGGGCTCCGCAAAGGTTTTCGGGCTCCTTCCGGTGTTCGTTAAACTAAACGTTTCTATATGGGTGGTTGTCAAAATTATGGTTCTTTTTTGGGTCCTTAATATAATACGGCACCTATTATTTAGGGTACCCAGAAAGGGAAAGGAGCGCATACACGCGCGTATGTTTTCTTGAAAGTGAGGGTTGAACGGTTCCATGGCCCCCAAGCTCTAAACCCCACGGGGACTTGCTTGGGAGTGTTGTCTGGGTGTTCCTAGGACGCACAACCCGGCCAACCCTAGTCCGATAATTGCAGCCTCTGCATGGGTAGTTGTCAAAATTAGGGTCCCTTTTTGGGTACCTTAGATATTTGGTACCGTGTTATAATAGGGACCCCAAAAGGGACCACAATTTTGACAACCACTCGCACGCAGGTTGTTGTAACATCCCTGGAGCTCGAAACCCTCAACCTTGAAAACCGACGCCGCTTCGGGGCGCTGCCGCAGTAAGGGATGCGCTTGCTCTACTCCTAGGGCCACCAAAGTTGGACGGACGGCCAAGTCGCCCGGAAGGCCCACGAAACCCGTGCAAAACTCGATTGTAGAAGCCCGAGGTGCGGGGGCCTGAAAGCCGCAAATCCTAAACTAGGATGCCCAGTAGTACCCTTATTCCCTTTTTGTAGTCCTAGGTTCCTTATAAAGTTACCCAATACCAAAAAGAGAGGCCTTTTTATTCCTAGGTTACTGGGCATCCTAGTAAATTAATCATAACATCCTAAAGCTTGACATCTTAAGTTTACTTGCCCAAATCCTAAACCCTTCAACATTTTTGAACCCCTAAAGCCTTACTCACTCCCACTTCAAATCTCATGGATCGTCCACCGCAGGCCAGTACCTGGGATTTGGCGCTCTTTGCCCGAGCCTCGATTCTTTGCAAAACGCTCGTGCTTTCCTCAGGGTTTAGGGCGTGGGGGTTACGTTTGAGGTGCGAGTTAGAAGTTCAGTGTGCAGGGCTACAGTGCCTCTAACGGTTTCTCTGATGGCTCTAAGGGTTTCTGCTCATCTTAAACATCATTGCTGTCATCTGCATCATAATCGTTATTATCTATACTTATGCCACTAGTGCCAGCTTTCTTTATGATCACTGCCGTCGTCTTGATCAACATCTTCAGCATGTGCACATCCTCATCAGCAACAGCATGAGCGCCAACAGCATCAAGCAACATTAGCAATAACGCAGCCATAATCACTTCAGGCAGCATCCCCATCGATCTGTCTTTCGTCATTGTCTCATGACCATGAGCATACATTTCAATACCAGCAGCATCAACATTATCCTCTGGATGTTCCGTTCGGTTGCCCCGAAACGCTACAGGCAAACCCTGAAACCCCCAATCCCCCAACCTCCAAGCCCTGGACCCCCGGCGGGACAGCAAAAGCAACACCACCTGCCCAGACCCGATTCTCAGAAACCCTAAACCCCCAAACCCTAAGCCCTCAGCCCTAAACCCCTAAATTCTACAAATTCCCGGAGCGTAAGCCCAAGGCCTGTTGAACCTGAGGTGGCTCTACTTTCAAAAGGACATTGCCCCGTTATAATTGAGGTAACCATACTTATAATAAGTACTTATAACCCCAATTAAGGTACTTACAACTTACAACTTATAACCATACTTACTAAGTCCCATGATCCTCCAAGTGAATAACGCGAAAGGTGGGCACCGATGTCCTGGGCCGATTAGGGGGCATTCACACCGCATCTTGACATGGCATTCACGGGAGTTTGAAGTTAAGGGGCTCGGGAGTTGCAGGTTTTTCTTAGGTAGCCTCTAAATTCTTGCTTTTTTGGCGCCCTAATGTTGAGGTTTGAAAAGTTCAGGGCTCGAAGCGCCGCGTGAAAGGGTATAAGCGTTGGCTCTTCGGGCTTAGGGCTTTAGGGTTTTTGGATTTAGGGTTTTAGGCTAGACCTTAACCTACAAAACCCTACTTTTTTGTAGGTTCTTAATATGAACCCTAATATCGGATTTATAGGGACCCTACAAAAAAGTAGGTTCTGGTAGGTTAAGGGAGGGTTTAAGGGCCTCTTGCCTTGGGAGTTGAAGTGATGTGGGATACAGTAGAAGCCAGAAAGTTGGAACATCATTGGCCTCATACCCTAAAGGTAAAGTATAAGGGATCCTAGCACTAATCCTCCTAAAGTCATGTTCCAACTTTCTGGCTTCTACTATATTCACACTTCCTTTGGATCTGAATATGCCCGGCGCGAAGAGGGTTTCCGGGCCGGGTGCGTAAGAGTGTCTCAACCCTAAACCCTAAACTTTAAACCCTAAACCCTCAACCCAAAACCCTAAACCGAATGGCTTCGGAGTAGCAGCAGCACAGTAGAAGCAGCAGCAGGCTTCGAAGCTTCCCATCAGCATGCAGCTTCAGGTTACCCAGAGGCTCCATAGTAGTTCCTTTCTGGGATTTCCATATAGGATTCTACATATGAACTCAAAAAGGAACTACTATGGAGCCTTTGGGTAAAGGCTTCTGGCAGTTTAAGGTTCGTTGAGTTCTAGCTTTCTGAGTTTGATTTCGCGCGGAGGGGGAGCTTATGTGGGAGGCGGGGTAGGTCGAAAGATCCACGGTGCTGCACGGCTGCAAGGGCACCGAGCTTGATATTTTGGTGTTCAGGGTTTGGGGTTTAGGGTGAGGGTGTTTTGAGAGGCTTAAGTAGAGTAAGTGCGAGGGTGAATGCTTGAAGCATCGGGTGCATAGTTCATCGACCTGTGTTCTACCGCAAGGCATAAAATTTGCTGGGCAGCGCTGTCTAGGGGCTCTTGTGCCCATAATGGCCGTGAGTCCAAGGGTAAAAGGAGGGACCCTTAACAAGGACCCCCAGGTATATACCCTTAATATAGCTATTATATACCCATTATATAGCCCGTTATAGGCTAGGGGTCCACATTAGGGGTCCCTCCTTTTCCCCTTTGATTGAGGTCAGGCCGTTATGTTTAAGTCGTTATTTGGTCATTAGACTTGCGGGTCAGCAAACCCCAAACCCCAATCGACGGATTGTCATGCATCGCGTTGCAGCAAGCCGCCTGCGTGCAGAGGTGATCCTGCTGCTGCTCACCGTTTTTATCCAATTGGTCCCTCTGATGCAAGGCGGCAACATGCAAGGCCCGACTGAGCCCACATGGGTGGTTGTCAAAATGATGGTCCCCTTTGGGGTCCCTATTATAATACGGCACCCATTATTTTGGGTACCCCAAAAAGGGACCTTAATTTTGACAACTACCCACATACTGAAGCCATGCATTCCGGAAGCCCGAAAACCCTAAAGCTCTGGAGGCTCCAAGGCCCAAAACCTAAAACCCTAAACCCAACACCCTGAACCCTGAACCCTAAACCCTAAGCCATTGCATATCTATCTAGGTTCCGGAGTAGTACCCTTTTGCCCTTTTTCTTTTTGGGGTTCCGATATTAAAACTGAATATGAGGCGCCAGTGTAACCTTATTATTAAGGGGCTACAACCCCTGAACTTCAGAACCCCTATATAACCACCAAACCCTAGACCCCTTGAAGGAGCCCTTAAAGGAAACCCCGAAAATCCTACGAAACCCTAAGAGGAGCGCGTCAAGTACTACTATGAACCCGTAGACTTTTTAGCTTTTCCTTAATCAGAAGGACCTTTAGGGGGGGGGGGGTAGGGGGGAGCTGGAGGCCCCTAAACCCTAAGCCCTAATCTGCATTGACAAGGCCGGCTGTCTACAAGCGGAACCAGACAAAATGTCGCAGTTCCGAGGATTGGAGCAGAAACACGACCTTCCCAGAAACTCCAAAACCCCTTAATTAAGGAATGTACCTTAAGTTATAATAGGATCCCTACTTTGATTTAAGGAATATTCCTTTCTTATAATAGGATCTACTTTGATTTAAGGACTATTCCTTAAATTATAATAATATTCCTTAAATTATAACAGGATCCCTAATATGATTTAAGGAATATTCCTTAAATTATAGTAGGATCCCAAATACGATTTAAGGAATATTCCTTAACTAAGGGGTATTGGAGTCTCTGGGTTGAAACCCCCTGCGTGCAAGCCAAAGCTGGGCGCGAAGCGAGGCAGGAGAAAACGGTGATGGCTTTCGCTGCCACAAAGCAAAAAGGCCAGGCATTGTACCCAGGCGCACAATCAGCGACGTGCAAGCAGGTACTGGCCGTGGCAAAATGCGAATCCTGGTCGGCCGAAGATGCTGCAATTCTAGATGCTGCCTTTATGGCGGTACCCAGAGACTCCAATACCCCTTCATTAAGGAATATTCCTTTTTCATATTAGGGATCCTACTATAATTTAAGGTATATTCCTCAATTAAGGGGTTTTGGAGTCTCTGGGTAGAGGCTGTCGCCTACAGCGTCGTGCTTGGCGCAACGTGCGCGACGCAGGATGAACAACGGCATAGGGCCTAGTTAAGGAAGAAAAGGCCCCTACCCCCCTCCCCCCTATCCCCTAAGGGTCCCCTATGACCTAAGAATGTTCGAAGACCTTACCTAGACCTACAAGACCCTGCTATTATGTATGTGCTTACTATAAACGTTAACGTGGGATTTATAGGAACCCTACAAAAAGGTAGGTTCTGGTAGGTTAAGGTACTCCGCAGGCCTGAATCCTGAAAGCTTTAGGGTTTTGGGGTTTTGGGGTTTTAGGGTTTTGGGGTTTCAGGGTTTTTAGGGCTTTGGGGTTTTCCGGTTTTGGGGTTTTGGGGTTTGGGGTTTTGGGGTTTTGGGGTTTTGGGGTTTTAGGGCTTCAGGGTTTTCGGGTTTTAGGGCTTTAGGGTTTTAGGGTTTTGGGGCTTTAGGGAAGGCTTGAGGGTTCCCTGCAGTCAATTCGATAACAAGCTATCCCCATACTTTATTCGCACTAGGATCGGATTACGTGTCGGGGGCTCCGGCATTAGATTAGGGATGCGAGCATGCTCGACTTAAACCCTCGTCCAAACTGAAAAAGTCGCCAAAGCTCCCCTCACCGCGGAACGGTGATGGCCATCACGGGCCCCATTTGCAAGATTTCGCCCAGTGCAGAAGCCCCTAAACCCTAAACCCTAAACCCTAACCCTAAACCCTAAACCTTAAACCCTAAGCCCTAATCCGGCAAGATTTCGCCCAATGCAGAAAGCTACAAAACTGCTCCGCACCCGGCATTCTGAAAAATGGACCTGGGCATGCCCATTGAGCCGAAAATTTCACGACCTACACAAAACCCCTAAACCCTAAACCCCTAAAACCCACTAAATCCTGAACCCAAAGATCCAGGCATCAATCTCGCTCGGATTGTCTGGTGACTGCTTGCATAAGCCCTAAATCCCCTGCCCTAAACCCTAAACCCCCGAACCCTAAATCCTAAACCCCTAAACCTGCAAACCCTAAACCCCTAAACCCTAAACCCCTAAACCCTAAACTCCTGAACCCTAAACCCTCGAACCCTAAATCCTAAACCCTAAACCCCTAAACCCTAAACCCAACAAGGTCTTCGTGGTCATCGTCCAGGAGAATTTCTCGCAGCCATTGATCGACCAATCTACTGTGCTGGATGTGACTCTCGCAGAATTCACTTGGGGGTTTACGGGTTTAGGGGGTTTACGGGGTTTAGGGGTTTAGGGTTTATGGTTTAGGGGTTTAGGGTTTAGGGGTTTCGGGTTTAGGGGTTTAGGGGTTTCGGGTTTAGGGGTTTAGGGGTTTCAGGTTTAGGGGTTTAGGGTTTCGGGTTCGGAGGGCTACTCTAGCAGAATTGGCGTTGAGGGTCCAGGAATCAGGATGTAGGGTTTAGGGTTCAGAGGTCTAGGATTAGGTTCAGGGTTTACCAGGACCCCCCAAGTACCCTTTAATAAAGTCCTTATGGTCCTTAATAGTAAATATTCAGGGTATGTTAGAGGGTAGTTGGGGGGTCCAGGTAGGTTTTAGGGTTTAGAGGTCTAGGATTCGGGTCATATTTGGCATCTGCATAGCACACTTTGCGGCTTAGGGAGTCGGACTTGGGTTTTTTCAGGGCTTAGGATGCACTTGTGAGTTTCTTAAAGTGGTTGTGTTTGGTGTCATGGTGCTTGCTGCGGACGACAGAGTTCCATAGTGTCAGCAATGATTATTATGGTGATGAGACAGCTTTGGAAGACTAATATAGGGGCCTTAATAGTTAGAAGAGGGGTTTGGGGCCCTTCTTCTTCGTGAGGCTATGGGTCCAATGCGGACGCGCCTATTGCACAAATGAACTCTAAGACCGGTGTGGATCCCCAGTTTGCGCTCGCGAACCACTCAGCAGTGCGCGGTGCAGTAATCTGGGCGATCGCACAGTGAGGTGTGCAAGATGCTGTGCATGAAACCGGTAGCACAGAGCTGAAAAACCGTAGCACTAGCAACGCTTCACACCCAAAATCAAAAGGATGTCGCACCATAACGTGCGCATGAGCTGCACAAGGAGTCGAAATGAAGCTTCAACGTGCAATGCGGAGCAGGCCAACAACTGCGCAGGATATTCCTCATGGGCATGAATGAGGCATAATGAGGCCATCCCTGCACAACACAACTATGTAACGACATACCCGAGATGCCGGAACACCTTCTTTGGAGGTGATATATTGACATCATAACAGAAACGCTAAAAGCTTGAGCCTTGTTCCCCATGGGGCAGAGAGGCAAACTGCAAGCTTCAGGCCCCGCATGGCGTATTCAAATGGCCATGCCTGCATGTTCATAGAAGTGCCTTCACACTCGATATGAAGTGCACTGACTGTCGCGCTGCAGCACGAGCCGTACTCAAGAAAAGCATAGTGGCAATGTACGCGGCTTCCGCTATGCAAAACACTGTCTGGCTCCTTCTCGAAGGCTGAGTTTCACAAACTTTCTCCCAACAGGTGCCAACAAGCATGCAGAAGCCGGCAATGGTTGTCCCCAGGCCAGCTCCCACATTGACCAAATCAGCATCCGCAGCGACCACGCTCAGAGAACATGCCACATCCTCGCCGTTATGGCCGATGCCAGCACAGCCCTCACAAGTTCCGCCCCTCTTCTGGACGGAGTCTGCCTGCTTGACGAACCCGTTGACGCAAAACACGTCTAAGACGCACAGAACAAAAGCATTGAAGATGATACTTCTGCTGAAAGCAATCTCCGGGGTAGTATGTTTGATGAAGAGTCCATGTAAGTAGACATGACCAGCTTGTAAGCACCAGCAGGCCGTCACAGCGCCGAGCGCCCCAAAGTACTCGTTGAGGGAAGCTGCCGACGCAAGGCTTCTCATTCCCAGTAGGCCCTGCCTTATCTTGGGACTGCGCCTCGACATTGTCGAACGTGCGACTGGCCTCAACGTCCAAGGTGAGCGTCAGGATCTTGACCAAGATCTGCATGCCGCCTCGCATGTGCGGCGCCAAGCGAAGGGTCGATTCCTTCTGCAGGTTGTAGTCCGAAAGAATACGGCCGCCCTCAACCTGCCTGCCAGCAAAGATCAGGTGCTGCTGGTCGGGCGGGATGCCTGCCTTAGTTTGGGACTTCGCATTGACTTCGTCGAACGTGCCACTGGCCTCAACGTCCAACGTAATCGTCTTGCCTGTCAGGGTCTTGTCAAAGATCTGCATGCCGCCTCGCAAGCGCGGCACCAGGCGAAGGCGTGCGTTCCATGGCACTGGGGCTACCGATAGTTCCGCGCTGCTGCGGCCATTCGAGCCCTGGTTTGGGGCCCACTATACTACAATTACAATAAGGACCCCCCCCACCAAAAAAAAAATAGTATATGTAATTATTTAGGCTCCTTTAGTACCGGGTACCGGCTTGAGTTCCCGAGTTTCTCGTCGATGCATTCCAGGAGTACAGTCGTAGATGCTTGGATACTCATCAAACTCTGCAGAGAATTGGGACCTCGCCCATGATCCCCTCCTACACCCTAAACCCCAAACTCACCGAAACTCGCCCATTTTCCGCATAAGTTCACAGCAGCCGGTCAGGCAAGCCGCTGGCGACTGTCGACAGGACATCGTGCAACCTGGCATCCTCATTGGGGGCCGCATTGGAGTTGTCGATTTGGGATCATGTTGAATTTCCCGTATTGTTTAGTATAGAGACCTAATCATTAAAAATTACAGGGATTCATGAAATTGACACGTAGTGCAGGTTGGGAAGCGTTTTACCTCCCTTCTTTACCCTAGCATTGGGGTGACCTGCTGGTACCACCTTTTCTTGCAAAGGGAGGTTGCCTGTTTGGTGGAGGGGTCGAGTGGCTGCTCGCTTCCTGAGATTGACGCGTTGCATAATCCAGCCCTCTCACATGTGGGTGGCTGTCAAAATTATAGCCCCTTTATAATTTTTGGGTACCCTAAATATTAGGTGCCGTATTGTATTAGGGACCCAAAAAGGGACCATGTTTTTGACAACCACCCATGTGATGAGCTTTTGGAACAGCAGAGGACAGGAGTACAGGGCCAAGGGGCAGCAGGATTGTTCAGAGGGCAAGGTTTACAGAGGGGCCATCCATGACCCCCTAAATCCTAATCTTGGCCCAGTATCCCTAAACCCTATGCGACAGAACCCCAAACCCTAAACCCCTCAACCAACTCTAAACGCTGAGATCATGCAGATTCGTTGGGAACGGTATTTGTTAGGGTTCCTGATTAAAACGAAACTAAATTGCACCCCTCCCCCCGCCCAAAGCCGATTCTAATTAAACAAGGCCCCTATGTTACGCCCACCTACACTTTGGGTCAAGGTCCACAAACAGAAGCCAGAATGTCGGAACATCAGCAGCTTACCACCCTTCCGCTCGACTACGAGGAGATGCTCAAATGCTTAGGCGCTGCACTGCGTTTACAACACCAAACAGAAGCACAACAACCCCAAAACCCAGCCGTCAGACGTTGATCCCTGTAGCCTCAGCCCCCAAACCCTAAACTCCAAAGTCTTAAACCGAAACCCCCTAAATCCTACACCCAAACCTGAAAGCCCCTAAACCGCTTTTAACCCTAAACCTTACACTTACTACCCCTGAACCGCAGACCCCTAAAGCGCTGAGTTTCTTTCATTGGATGGCCCTAAACCCTCAACCCTAAACCCTCAACCCTAAACCCTCAACCCTAAACCCTCAACCCTAAACCCTAAACCCTCAACCCCAAACCCCAAGCCCTATATAAACCCTAAACCCTGAGGTGTTCTTTTACGATTCGCTGACGCAGGCCCTTGCAGAGCCGGTCGTGGGGTTCCTTGGGGTTTGGGGATTAAGAAGGGCATAAGGGCTCCTTTAAATGGATCTATAAGGCTTCTATAAAGGGTTTAGGATTTTTTGGGGTTTAGGGTTTAGGGTTTGGGGATGAAGCTATGGGACTGAGGTGAAGGGGTTAAGAGTTGGGCGTCAAGGCTTAGGGATTTAGGCATTTAGTTTTAGGTTTATCAGAGTTTAGGGTGTGGGACTTTGGGCTGGAGCGCTGATTGACTGTATGGCCGGTTGTGTAGGGTCTAAGGAGAGCGTGGGCCTTACAGGTCGAATGTAGGTAGGTAGGTAGGTAGGTTAGTAGGTTAGTAGGTTCATAGTGGTAGTGGTAGTGGTAGTGGTAGTGGTAGTACTGCTGCTACGAAAAATCTTGCATCTATTTCTTGACAGAGGTCTCTCCCCCCTCGCAACACCCGAATCTTAATATCGCTTCATCGCAGCACACTTTGGCTCCTTGCCGTGCCGTGTGTCATGTCGAGCTCCAGCTCGGACGAGTCTGACGACCAGAGGCCCCCTCCAAAGTCAGACTGGTTGACGGACGAGGATGCGGCGGCTCGAAGCCTAGTGTTTCTGGTCACGTTCGCTGGCATCCTGGATGCGACGGCACTGGCGGCAGATGTTCCTTTCAGAAGCTTGGACGGCTTCTCTCCAGAAGACATCAAGGCTGCCGTCCTTGATGCCGTGGAGCGCCCTGTCCAGGACGCCACCGCACGGGGTGGCAGACCCCGCTCAGCAATGCTGGAGGCGCAGAAGCTCGTGGTCTTCTTGGAGGAACTGCGACACTTCCACGTCGCGTTGTGGCTTACTGCGGTGTCGCTGTTCCTGCCTTTGACGACCGCGCTGCGTCGGCGTGCAGTTTTGGCATCGCACTGGAGTACCTCTCACGCACAGTGGCGGAGTGCTGTGCGGTACGGAGTCTTCGCGACGGAGCGCAAGCCTGCCGTCGACCAGATGCCTCTGGTTTGGGTTACAGCACTTGGAGTTCTGGAGCCACTAGGGGCAGGGCCAGGTGCACAAGGACCCTGCCTCAGGCAACGTTGTCGTGAACGTCTACGAGGAAGCGCAGCAACTCTTCAGCTCCTCACTTGGACCAAGCGTCGCCAACAGCACGAAGCTGACAAAAGCTTGATGCTGGACCTTGTCATGAATGTCTTCAAGCCATCGACTGCTGCCCTGCGCAAGGCGCCACTACGCCTGTATGTTGTAGTCGTGCCCACTCTGTTCGGATCCTTGTAAAGTAGATGGGGGAGCGATTCCAGAGAAGTCGTGCCCACAAGCGTCTAGTTGCGGGAAATGATGTTGGATGTAAGCACGGTCATGTGTGCAGCGGTGGAATCTTGATTTGTTTCGGAAATAACAGCAGGGGAGCAGCTTAGGAAGTCGTATCGGCCAGAAAACATGTTATGATACACTCCAGGGTCCAGGCCCTATAATTCGTCGTAGGTATGCGAAAGACGTCCCGCACGGGCGTCACCTTGGTGAACACATTATGTTCACATCTATCGGTTTTTGTTGTTTTTGCATTCGAGGCGTCTAGTTGCAGAATAGGTTCGCGTTCGGAATACTGGTTGCCTGGCTGCGCGGGCGTCTACGTGCGGACTGGTTGACTGTGATGTGCTGTCACTGTTCTGCCATGATCGGGTGCTTGCGACAGCAAGCATGTGCATGTGAAACCGCTGGCTGCGACGTGTTGTCCCTGTGTTGCCAATGTGTGTCCTGAGCTGATGCTTGCGAAGCGAGCATTTACATGGGGAACAACTGTTTTTCATGTGTCGCGTTGCCAAGGATGTGTGGGCTGCTTGTGGAATCTACGTGTAAGATGTGCTGGATGCAGCATTTCAGTGCGTTTAGCTTGTGTTTGACGAGCTTGTGGTGCATGTTTGGTGACTTTGTTGTAAGATGTGATAGATGCAGCATTTCAGTGCGTTTAGACGGTGTTTGACGAGTTTTGGGTGCATGCTTGGTGACTTTGTTGTAACAGTAAGATGTGATACATGCAGCTTTTCAAGGCGTTTAGATGGTGTTTGACCAGTTTGGGGTGCATGTTTGGCGACTTTGTTGTAAGATGTGATAGATGCAGCATTTCAGTGCGTTTAGATGGTGTTTGACATGTTTGGTTTGCACATTGACAATATGGGCGCGACTTGCGTTTACTTGGGGAAGAGCCTTCTACCAGATCATGGCACATTACACACATGAAGTTTCGCACGGCGTTTACTTGGGGGAAATTAAGGTATGGGCAGGACTTTACGGGGTCATGGGCGGGCGGCGTTAGTTTCGGAAAGCAGCATGCAAGCCAAATGGGCGCGACTAGAACTTTGCGCTGTGTGGCATTGAGCTCTCTGGCGACCAACCGACGGTTGCGGTTTATTTACTGGGACGAATTCTCGCCTACAGAGTTCGCGGCAAGGCCGCCGAAGGCACCGACTGTGCCAGCCGTGACCTTCAAGAAGCTCTTCGCACGGCAGCACTTCCGCGTCGAGGTCTCTCAGGAAATCGGTGGACCCGTGGTGCGGCCATGACGGCGCCGCTGGAAGGGCTCTGGGACGTGGCCGGGTTTGTCACGCGCGAGGATGTGCGACACATGCAGTCTCGCGTTGTGCAGTTCGATGCTCATGTGAGTATCGAAGGATCCTTGCAGTCGATCCCGCACTGCCCCGAGAGCTGGTGCCAGTTCGTGGTGCAGGCATCCGCTGCTTATGCAGCGCGGCGACCGCCATAGGTACAGGAGCGTCCCATCGAAGATGAAGACCTCTAGGCTCCAGAAGCTTTGTCGCTAATGTGTGTCACGGCTGATTTCAAACGAACACCGACACCGAAGATGCAGTACTGTTGCTACGAAAAATCCTGCATCGATTTCTTGACAGAGGTCTCTCCCCCCGCAACCCCCGAATCTTAATATTGAGCCCAACGGCCCCGAAATGGCGACAAGCTCGAGTACCAAAAATCCTGCATGACCCGATGGCCCCTCCAACATTGAAATCGGGGTGAGGGGAGAAGACGCCGAGGGTATCGCTATCTCTCCCACAAGACAGGTCATGCAGGATTTTTACCATCTACCGTAGCAGCAGAAGTAGTAGTAGTTATAGTTGTAGTTGTAGTTGTAGTTGTAGTTGTAGTTGTAGTTGTAGTTGTAGTTGTAGTTGTAGTTGTTGTTGTAGTAGTAGTAGTAGTACTAGTAGTAGTAGTAGTAGTAGTAGTAGTAGTAGTAGTAGTAGTAGTAGTAGTAGTAGTCGTAGTAGTAGTAGTGCTAGTAGTAGCAGTAGTAGTAGTAGTAGTAGTAGCAGTAGCAGTAGCAGTAGCAGTAGCAGTAGCAGTAGCAGTAGCAGTAGCAGTAGCAGTAGCTGTAGCAGTAGCAGTAGCAGTAGCAGTAGCAGTAGCAGTAGTAGTAGTAGTAGCAGTAGTAGTAGTAGTAGCAGTAGTAGTAGTAGTAGTAGTAGTAGTAGTAGTAGTAGTAGTAGTAGTAGTAGTTGCACTCGTTGTACTTGTAGTAGTACTTGTAGTTGTTGCAGTAGTACTTGTAGTTGTAGTAGTAGTAGTAGTAGTAGTAGTAGTAGTAGTAGTGGTAGTAGTACCAGTAGTACCAGTAGTAGTAGTAGTAGTAGTAGTAGTAGTAGTAGTAGCAGTACTAGTAGCAGTAGTAGCAGTAGTAATAGTAGTAGTAGTAGTAGTAGTGTTCAGTAGTAACTCCTTTTTCTACTGGTACGGCTACTGCTACTACTGGCTACTGGCGACTGCTACTGCTACTGCAAATGTAAGTGCTGCTACTACTACGACTACCAGTGCTACTTCTGTACCGCTTTTCTTTCTTTCTACCACTGCTGCTGCTAGTTCCAGTGCAATCATAAACCTTTGCTTGCCATCGCTTTCAATTATGGCGAGGGTTAAACCGTATGGCATACAACGCTATTGCTTGTGCTGTCACTAGCGATTTCCTGTGAGTCTTGATCTTGCCTTTGTTGTCGGGTAGCTCTGTGGTGGTGTGCCTCCGTGACTATGATACAACTGTACCTGTAGTACTTGATGCTACGACGTCTTCAACGGCCACTGATTAGTTTTACCTGCGATAAACCCTAAACCCTAAACTTGATCCCTAAACCCCTGAACCCCCAAACAATAAACCTAACCCCAAAACCTTATTCGTTGAGCCTATGCTTTGCAGGCATCGCTGGTCTCGCGGGTGCCTGGGTGGAGAAACCTACCTGTCGGGTTGAGCTCTCATTTGCTCCAAGGTTCAGGGTTTAGGGCTGAGGGTTTTGGGTCATGTAGACGTATTGTCTGATGTGCCTGATGTGGGGCTATAAATTGCTATATTTCCGAAAATAAGGGACCCTAATCGAATACCCGAAATAGTAGGATCCTTATGATAAGGACCCCCGGAAATTCCCATTTTCAAATTCAAATATGTGTACATGCTTAAATTAGTACGCCGCTTCTTTTGTTCGCCCAAGACACTGCGGACTCCTGGGGTCAAGGACTGAGGGTACAATCGTTCCTGTTGTTCTTCCGGTTTCGTAAAGCCACTACTCCTAAGTCATCACGCAAAACTTATAAAGAACCTAGACGCGACGTAGTAGCTGACTTTTCACCTGCCGTCAGCACTGAAACAGCACCCTTAAAACATGTGCGAGCTCGTCTGAATTCCTAAAGCTTTTCTGTCGTTGGGCACGTGTAGGCCTAGGAAATGGCGAGTCAATCGAATTTACAACTGAAGGTGTGCAACTTCGACAGTGCGCTCGATGTATCGCAGGGCCAGGCACCATGCAAATCCCACACGCCAGAATTTATACGGCCGAGGGAATGGAATTTCGGGTCTCAGGACTGGCACTTGAACGTTGATGCCATGATATTCACACTACTAACAACAATCATATGGCTAGCAGTAAACATACTAACAACACTAGTATTAAAAATCACAAAGATGAAGTTGTAACCACAACAATTGCTAGTTTGCAGTGATCTAACGGGCTCCCACAAGAGCTTACGAGATTTCATGGAACTTGCGTTTCTGAGATTGTTCATAGTTAATGACGTTGTGCCAAAGGGACCTAGGCAAACTGTTTCCTGAGGCTCCTAGGATAGGATGCATCGCAGGTAAGGTTTAGGGTTTAGGGTTTCGTAGATGCATAGTTAGGCTTGGGAAGGAGTTGAATGGTTTGTTTCGGCCTTGTCAGGGATTCGGAGCTTCAGGTTGCGACCTATTCCCGCAAGCCACCTGAATTCTGCGACGAAACCGACGTACCGACATGCTATACCCTTAGCCCTAAAGCCTAGGCCCTAAACCCGAACTGTAGGAAAGGGCAGACTGCAACTGAAGGGCCAGGGTGCAGAACGTGAATGGAGGTAAGAGTTGACACGACCCCAACCGGAGGCCAATATAGGACTTTCTAGGTGTGGGGTTTAGGGTTTAGTTTTCAAGGGGCAGTAACAGGGTAAGAGAGTGATCATACGGTTGTCGATAAGATTCCTGCATAACCCATAATAAGAATCATACCATAATTCCCATAGTTTAGAGTCCTAGGATGTATATGGGTGGTTGTCAAAATTTTGTCCCTTTTTGGGTACCCCAAAACCCAAAAAGGGACCATAGTCTTGACAACCACCCATATCATCAACACCATATTTCCCATAGTTTAGGGTCCTTGCATTGAGGGTTTTCATAAAAACCCTCTATCATACCATAATTCCCATAGTTTAGGGTCCTAGGATTTTTATCATCGACACCCTATCCCTCCAAGGACCTCATAGTTAGGGCCCTAGACCCCTTAAGGATCCCATAATAAGGTCCCTGGAGGCATAGGGACAGTATTCGGCCCGATGGCCCGAAACTTCTAACCCCCCCCCCAAGCCCTGAAACCTTAAAGCCCTGAACCCTACCTATAGTCTCCATTGTAGTTCCTTTTTCTGGTTAACCAGTTTTATGGTTAGGAACCTATAATAGAGATTTTGGATAACCAAAAAAAGAAACTACAATGGAGACTATAGGTAAAACCCTAAACCCCTCATAGAACGCGTATAGGTCCCTTATAGGAACCCTTATAGAGCCCTTTGAAAGGAACCCTAGACCCCGACCCTGAGCAGACCTTACCCGTTGGCCTTTTCCCGAACTTTGGCGGACAATGGGTCCTGTCTGGCCTTTTCTCGCACTTTGGCGGGCCATGCGCTGGGACGCACCGAAAATCATGTCGCACGTTGGCCGTAGGCGTGTCTAGTCCAACCTTGCTCTTGGGGTTTATTGAGGGTTTAGGGTTAAACCCTGAACCGGAATATCTAAACAAGGTAGGGTCAAGGGTTTCAGGGCGAGGTTGAGGGTTTTAAATAAGGGACCTTAAGCCTTGAGAGTTTAGCATTTTTGTTGCCGGTTCAGGGTTTAGGGGTTTAAGGTTTAGGGTTTAGGGATTTAGAAGTAGTGGGGCCCTGCCAGGTCAGCTGGTGGACTCTTGCATACAAGTATCTTCGCGATGACCAATTCTTCGCAGGACGCGGCCCCAGAGTTGTCTTCGTCAATGCCCATGTGGCACTTTTCTCAGAATGACTCAAGCACACTTCCCTGAGACGGAGTTGAATGTACAGGCAACAGTAGAACCTCTAATCAATTCTTCCTAATTTTTCCGAAACCCACTGCAAAATATAGGCCTCAACATTTTGGGTTGCAAGGTTTGGGCCTAACAGCTATCATCACGTAAGGCCGAGACTCGCATGTTATTATTAACGGACAGCATCTTTGCAACACATGCCAGCGACGCCAGCCTTGCACGGAAGCAACAAGCAACAATAGCTTAGGTACTGCCCTCTTACAGTAAGAGTCTATAATAGGGCTACTATTAAGGTCCTAATATACCTATATTATGAATATTACTCAACTAGTACTGAGTGGGGGCCGTACCCAAACAGTAGCAATGTGCAGCAGCAGTCGCAATAGACAGTTTTCAACAAGCAGAGCACGAACACGGATGGTAGCGATAACGGTAGCAGTGTTAAATACGCGACATCGGCAATGCAATGAGTACTCGCAGCAAGCTGGTAGCAGCAAAGCACTAGTGTTTCTGCCACTAGAAAATTACAATGGCAACAAACGGAAGGAATGCAGCTGCCCAAAAAGGATAAAGTAGGAGTCACATGCGTGCAAGTGCGACGAGAATGTTGTTACCTCTTGCGATAAGCTGTACCAAAATTTTGCCGTGTTCGAGGTCGGAGGTTTTCGTGAATACTAGTGGGCCTCAGCCAGAGTCTGTGCCAAGCGAGTAAGCAAGTTTGTATGCGGCAGAACAAGCAGTATCATTTTTTCAACGCCCCAAACCGCCGACTACTGCTCCACTCCACCTCCACCTCCGCATGCACATCCACATACCCATACACAAAGACACACACGCGCGCGGACATATACATGCACATACATACACGTAACCACCTCTATGCATGCATGCATGTATGCATACATACACATACACCCACCCACACATACATACATACATACATACATACACGCATACATACACGCATACATACATGCATGCTGCATACATATACATACGTACATACCCGCAGCAGTAAGATTTTTGATAATTCCCACCAGAGGGGCCTTTCTACTAAAAGGGTACGACCGCGTGACTTTCAGGGACCCTAATTAAAGCAGATCTTCTGCACAGCTTTTGGGTTGCGGATGCGGCAGTGGTGCTTAGGATGCAGCTTGTGGGGTTTGGGTGTAGTACACCCTACACCCAAAACCACAAAGCCTTAAACCCTAAACTCTAAACCCTCATAATTCTAAATCAAGAGGGTTATGTCGCAGGGTGGAGTGCCTTCTGTAAGTCTCAGATCTGCAGCCAGGCCCGGTGTTAGCCATGGTGGCTGTCACCTTGTGGTTTCTGATGGTGTCGGGTGACGTCGTGAAAACCATGGATGGAGGCACAACGAGCGGGGCGGGGGGGGTTGGTGTGATGTTGCCTCTTAACTATAGTGTCCTTGGCAATTATCGTTTTAGTTTTTGTTCATATAACCATATAACACCCAAGAGATATTAAGACTAACATTTTATTATGGTTCTAAGGGGGGTATGGTTAAGGTTTCGGCTTGGGTTTGCCCGGTTTCCAGTTTGAAGCTCCAGCAGGCATCATTCCATGTGAAGGAAACAAAAAAATCTCGACTCCTAAGGCCTGTATACACCCTAAATTCCCTAAAAGCTTACAGTGCATATCACCCTAAACCCTAAACCTTACATCCCTAAACCTCAAAGCCCTAAACCCTGAACCCTACATTCCCTAAACCCCTAAACCCTAAACTTCGAATCCCCTAAACCCCTAAACCCTAAACCCTAATTTCAAATCCCTTAAACCTTCGAGCTTACCCATTCAAACTCCCAGCTTTGGCGACTCTGCGGGTGCTTATACAGCGAAGTGTTTTTGGGAGGCTCTGGCTAAAGGCCAAGCTTCTAATTCTAGGTCAGGGTTTAGGCTTTATAGGGTTTAGGGTGCAGGGCTTAGGGTTTAGGGTTAGGGTTAGGGTTTAGGGTTTAAGGTCAGTTTTGAAGGGCTTCAAGCTCTTTTTAGGGTGTATGAGGGGCAAGCATTGAACCCCGAAATGCAGCATCTGCAGCCCCTAGACCACGACAAAGGCTAGAGCCACAACATCTAAGGGCCAAACACCTTGAAGCCCACAGCCCTAAGTTAAGATGCCTCCAGGCTCAAGAAAGGACATGTAGAGTAAACACCAGCCAGCCGCAAGCTTGAAGACCGAAGTGTGGGGCCGGTATTCCTTTACGATTGCCTTCTGGCAATAAGGGAGTTTCCAAAAATAGGGGACCCTACCATACCACTCTAAATAGTAAGATCCTTCTGATCAGGAGCCCAAAATAAGGTACCCCGAATTGTCGGAAACTCCCACAAGATACTGGGTTTTCAGCTCCATGGCAGTTAGTGCAGTGCTCCGCTCCCAGTAGACATCTCTTCTCTGAGGGTAGTTTTCTTGAAAAGAGCCGTGATTTCGAACGTCCATGTAGTTCGTCTATATCTGCATTCACCCTTGACGGTTGAAGACCTGACGCCCCCAAACCTAGAAGAAACTCCTCCGGGAATTCATACAACCCTGTGAAACACTAATCATTTCCCCAACAACCCCCGCAGGATTCCATATCGCAACCTATAAAATCCCTGTCAGCTCCCACAAACTCCAACGATTCCCTAAACCCTAAATCCTATCTAAAGCCTACCTAAGCCTTATCTAAACCCTAAACCGTATCTAAACCCTAAACCCATGAGCTTTGCCTAAAGCTCATAGCAGCCGCCAATCCTGAACCCTAAACCCACCACTTACTTCCAGCTCGGGCGTTGGTCTGCGTCCCACTTGGGCCGACCTGCCTCTTCGTCCGAATGAAGTGTGGTGGTTTAGGGCTTTGTGTAGGTTATCATTTTTATTGCCGTTATTTTTATTGTTAGTGTTATGCTGAATAAAGTTGTATACAGGTTTTCATCTGATTATGCTTTATGTCGTTTTTCGGTTTCGGACTACGAAGTGTAAGGTTTAGGGTTGAATCTATGGGGCCTTAGTAGCCAGAACTGAAGGGTTTGCCCTGCAAGTGCATCGGTTTGCGGACCCTGGGCCCTAAATGCCATACTCACCCACCCTTTTCCGCACCCCAAACCCCCAGCCCTACAGCCTACCCAACGTTAATTAAGTCCTGAATGAATTGTATTGTACTCTTTGCAGTGCTGGTTACTACCCCTCAACCCTAAGCCCTATGCCCTAAACTTCCTGAACCCTGAACCTTCAATAAAATCCTAAACCCTGGAGAACAACCTCAGCCCTCAACGCGTAAACCTAACACTCGAAAAGATCTTAGCCCTCAAACCTTGAACCTTAAACCCTACACGCTAAGGAAAACCTTAATCACAAAACCATAAATGTGTAGTTCTCTGACCTTGGGTCCCTTCTTAGGTCCCCAAAATAGTGCGGCAGCCTAAGAAAAAGGAACTTGAGAAGGGAGCCTAATTTACAGAACTACCCAAATGTTAGTACAATATATCCCAAACCCAAGACCCTAAACCTCTTAAGCCCTCTACAATAGAAGCACTTTCAACCGTAACACCTAAATTCTAAATATCTGGCCCTGGACCCCTATTGGCGATCGGAGAAAGGGTTAGTGCACCTAAACAAATGTTTCTTAAATTGGGGATTTTTTCCCCACTGGGTTAGTGCACTTTAAAAACATGTCTTAAACTGGTAAACCCATCGCAAAAGTCTGGGGCCCGATCCCAGGCCTTGTCTTGGACACGGAGGACGAGGAGCTCAGTGCGACTTGGGATGCTTAGGGGTTTTAGGTTTTTAGGGGTTTTAGGGGTTTGAGGGGTAGGCCTGTCGCATAATACATGGCTGAGTTGTTCTGTGCAAGACCTTAGTGAGTCAGCAGTCTAAGTAGGTAGGGCTATGATTAGCAGGATAACCCCTCTAGTGTGCTTATGACCGACGGAGCGAATCTTTTAAGTAAACTGTACTGGCTGCATCACATGGCCAGCGACTGATCCAATCGTGTCTCACAAGTCGGCTCAAAGAAGTTCGGAGACGACAACCCGAAAGTACAGAACATCTAGAAAAATCAAGGAGTTTTCACCGCCATGTCGGCGTGGTCCTGGGTGACATCTATTCTAGGACTCAGCGAGGGTCCCACACCCAGGCAGAGCGCAGACAATCAGGATGCTGCTTTGATAGCCACCATAGTGCGGGCAAACTACTCGGCGTATCAGCCCAAATCGACAGACCCTCTCGAGCATCAGCTGGAAAGAGCCAACTATCATTGCGATTTTGCCAAGAGGCAGGTACATCGCCTCATGCTTTTGTTTCGCGATGTTGTGGCTGAGAGGGATGTGCTTCGCGGGCAAGCCGAGCAGGCGGCTGTTCTGCAAACTCGCCTACACGCAGAACTTCAGCAAACGCTTTCAGAAAGAGATTCGTGGCGAAGCTCGAGTCCCATGATCCTACATCCCAGCAGACACCTCAATAGGACCCCTATGAAAAATACGCTTGTAATGACACTGTCATGTCGTAGGGCTTAAGACGTAAAGCACCGGCGTGGAAGGGGGGGGGTCACAGTAAGTGTGTTGGTGATGCCCACACCCTAGCCCCAAAACCCAAGACCCTAGAACCCCGAAACCGAGACCTCGCCCGCACGCTCCAGACCTCAACCCAGCACTTGACAGGACGAACCAAAATACACACTGACGAATCTCTCGCGGGGACGGAAAGTGTGCCTTCGACGCCTTTGTGGGGATATGGGGTATTCAGAAAACTGGCTACCTTATTTGGGAGCGGCTCCTTATCTAGGGTTCTATATTAGGGTCCCCTATGAAGCTCCCGTTTGTATTCTAACTCGCGAGTTTGGGTGTCACTACCCTGAACCTAAACCGGGTCCAGACAGGCTCAGACAAATGCAGGATTTAATCTTGAGATATTTTCAAGATTTTGAAGGGCTATGAGGTCTTGTTACAGTGATGCAGATCATGTTGCGGATGGTAGTGGATGTGAGTTTGCTGTACTATGAAGACCACGATAACGACGTGTTCGATGATTTTCCTCAGGTGTCAAGGCTCCCATTGTGAGTTCATGTTTTGATATCGCGATGTTAAGGTTGTAGGGACGACGATAAGGTCCGGAATTTCTGAGACATCTGAAAGATCCTGAAAGAGGGTTTGGGGGCTCGGGCTTGCGGGGAAATCGAGTACGCATTTTAGGCTTGCTGCGGGCTGCGGGCGGGTTTCACCTTTTTTTAAGTTTTCCGAGAAGCAGCGACAACTATGAAACGCTAAACGTTGCACCCGGGATGATAATTGATTAGGGCTTGAATATTCGATGACTACAATTCCTTGGGGCCTAGGGCTTTTCCGAGTATATGAATGAATGAGTCTAGTTTAGTTACAGAGTGTGAAGCCCCCCAAGAACAGAAAATCTACCAAGCCACGTGCCGCACGTGCCACAACTTCAAAGTTCACGCTGCAGGCGTCTTGTGCAACGGAAGTAGGCGCTCACCGCAGCCTTGACAGTCGTATCCAAAGCTTCAATGTCCGCCAACAACGGACCCAAATCCAAGGCGCTTCCCCCATAGCACAGGTGGGGCGCGATGCTACTACTGGTGCGCGGCTCCGTGGCATGCGTTCTCCTCTACTCCGGAACCCTGCGACTAGGCAACATGTGACTGTCATCATTGAATAGTCAAGGCCTGGTGTTAGGAAGGATCAATCGGCATGCGCTTCATGGCTTTCCTTACGTCCTGGAACTTTCACATGTCTTGAAACCCCAAACAAAGCCCGGTTTGAGGGAACCCACTGGCTTGCCGGAGGCAGACCCTTCTGCTGTCTCTCCCCCCGTGTAAAAGCCACTAAGTCCTAAACCCGAACCCCAAACCCTAGTTTAACATGAGGTCTGAATACTAACAATAGCTTGCAGCAGTTCTGCAACGTACCCCAAAACCTTCTTCAAAGTGTTAAAGCTTGTGTGCCGTAGTCCTTCATGGTCGGACAGCAGCTCACACGCGCGAAATTCCAAAGCCTTGATTTGAGCTTTCATGCCTTTTGGAAACATGGGGCCGTTTTCAACAGTTTTAGGATGTTTTCGAAGGTTTTCCAAGGCTCTACAGGTTTGGGTGTTTAGGTTTTGAAGGTTTCGAATCAGGGTAAGCCTACACCCTAAAACTAAGCAGCTTGCATGTCGTTTAGCGTTCCGCTGAGGTTGAGCCAGGCCTAAAGCTTGTGAAAGACATTGCAAGGCTCATTCAAAATTCGTGAAACTCTTGCGTAAGAGCAGCGCATTCGAGGTATGTCATGCACACCCTAAATCTGTCCGACTTGGTGCTCAACTGCCGGGGCCTCGTCCGGGAATTGGTCCAAATCACGAGCGTAATCAAGGGTTTCACTGCAACCAAAGCTTTATGATTCCCTGCGAGCTGCAAGCTGTAAGTCGGGATCTTCGACGCTTGCTTGGGAAATTGCAACAATAAACTATGGCAGCATCGCACCATTCTCATGAGCAGCAGTATGACCAGTACCGTCTTCATTCTGGTAGCCCTTGTCGCTGCTATTGGTGGCGGAGGATGTCGTTGTGTGGTGTTCGTCGTCGTAGTAAGACTAGTAGGACTGGGAGGAGGAGAAGCCTGCGCGGCGGATCCAGCAACAGTGGTTGCTTCAGTAGTCGAGTTGGACGGTTCAGAGTTTGCCGGTTCAGAGTCCCGAGGCTCCAGAATAGCCAAGTCTGCTTGTTTTTTCTCTTCTTTTGTATTAGTTAAGGAATATACCTTAAATGGTAATAGGATCCCAAATCTGATTTAAGGTATATTCCTGAATTACGGGATATTGGAGTCTCCGGGTTTCCCGAAGGCATCGCGCTCGAAATTGTCCTGAACGTGGACGATCTGTTGTTCAATGCTTTGGCAGCCACGCCGGCAAGGTGCTTGATCAGCTTACACTCTTGGGCTCACCCCTTGCTTGGTGAACCCCCGACCGAACACTCGTGCAGCTTGAGTTTCAAGGTTCCCTAAACCCTAAGCCCTTGGGTTTGGTTTGTAGAAGTTGTGCGGGACAGCTAGTTTTGAGAGCTTATTTGGGTTTAGGGTTTGGGGACCAACTGGCCTCAGAGAACACAAAACAGCGGATTCGCTGCGCCAGGCTGTAACCCCGGAGACCTTTTGCGGCAAACGGGCATCAAGCTTTAGCTTCACCAAAGTTCCAAATCTCGAAACTAAGCCCTGAGCCCTGAGCCCCACCTAAAAGCCTGCAGGCCTACATCCCACGCACCAAACAGGAAAACTAAAACCTGAATCCAGCTATTTTGTACGGCCTTCCGAAGAGGTTTCTCCTCCAGACGCTGCAGCCGATCCAGTTGAAACTTGGCTGCAACATCTACCCTAGGGTGTATGCTTTGTAGGGTTTAGGGCTGGGTCACCTCCACCGTTATTTAATATTCTGCCTTTGGGGTGCAGGCTTTACATGGTTATGGTTAAGAGTCTAATTACCTCAACTTTGAACGTTTTGGCTTTAGGATTTCGGGGTTTACGGTTCGGAGTTTGCAGCTCAGGCTGCAGAGTTTGGGCTGCTGGATGTGGGGTCCAGGACCTATAGGGCCTAGTGTTTTCGGTTTAAGCCTTTGTTTTGCACGCAATCCGAAGCCCACTTTGACTTGCACAAGGGCATTCGTGGACAGTGGAAGCGCAGCAGAGTCCACAGAGACACAGTAGCACTTGCTAAACCGCTGTCGTGGCTCATCCTGCTTCTCCTCTTACGTCGTCTGGTTGTTCTCCCACTACGGCTACGACGACGACTACTACTACGACGACTGCTACTGCTACTACGACTCCTACCTGGCTACCCACAGGAACAGACCCCAAGGTGGGTAATGAAGCGCACGGGGTAATTCGGCGCATCTACTTACTCACATCAGGCACCATCAGAATCCTGTAAGTGACACTGTCGGAGATGGAAGCACGGGTTGATGCACGATTTTGCCATTGGCACCCACCGTGTCTATGCGCACAAGGCATGAATGCCGCGCGGCGTGTGTGGTCTTGTCTGGCTCCAACTACTTTTCAGCTTGTGCAAGATCAGCAGTACCAGACACAATTTGTAGTATGAGCCCTTTCTGAGACAGCAGGCATATGACGAAGTTGAAACGAGAAGGGGGGGGGGGGCTCTGGAACGGTTCGATCAATTATGGCTCGGGTGCCCCTGGACCCTAGACCCTCAACCGGGCAACACTTGGCTGGGATCCAAGTCTAAAATCCGAATCAAAACTCTAAAGTTCGCGAGGAACGTAAGATACACCTTCTCTTCGCGAAGAGCCGACTTGTAGCTACTCCTGACACAGGAAGAGTTGGCCACGACGAAGTGGACTTGATGTCAAAGCTTTCGGCCGCCTAGCAGCAGTTCTGGGGTTTAGAGTTCAGGGCTAGGAAATCTAGATAACTTTTTTCCGTTTTCCGAACACCGAACATGAGGTTTGCAGGGTTGACTTAGGGTTCCTAAGCTACGGTTCCGTTTAGCGTTCACTGTTGCAGTTCCTGGAGCTACAGTTTACAAGGGGCCCAGCCCTCGCGCGGTTGAAACATCGTCCATTCCGCGTAAGAACCGTATGTGAGGTGGCCTGTTCCAAATCCAAACTCCGAAACTCACAACGCTTTACTTTAGCAGAGTGTATAATCATACTAGACACACACACACACATGCACATACACCGTAATGCACGTACATACACAGACATACATACACACACACACACAGAGAGACATACAGACATACAGACATACATACTTACTTGCTCGCTGATTCATGTGTTCCTGCTACTGGTCCTATCATAAACCAAACACCCTAAACCCTAAACCCCAAACCAAACACCCTAAACCCTAAACCCGAAACCCTAAACCCTAAGGCAGTCTCCTTCTTCTTGCCGGAGCTCTGGTCTTGGTCTACAGCTCCTGGGAGTTGCAGTTGGGAGAGGTTTTGGGATTCAGGAATTTGAGTTTAGGGTTTCGGGGTTTTGAAGTTCAGGAATTGAGGGTTGTGGGGTTCAGGGCTTTAGGTTTGGAGAGAGGCAGAAAATCTAAAGCAACTGCGGAGTAGGCGTAGAGATCTCTTACAGGAAGCTTCGGACGAATGCAACGACCGCCACCAGCCTAGGGTCTGTGGTTTTAGGGTTTGGGCTTTAGGGGTTGAGGGTTTCAGGGTTTAGGGCCTAGGGTTTGGGGGAGTCGGATTAGGAGGATACGGAGTTTGCGAGGTGATGACGGTTTGGTTCGAAGGTTGATTTCGAGCTCAAGAGACTTGACTTAGTTGTTAACTTGCAAGGTCCGAATAGGGTTCAGCCGGAAGAGTGATCAGGGTTCGATTAGGGTTTTAGCATATCGGTTTTGGTGTCCAAGTGGTTCAGAGCATAGACACACCAAGATGGGCTTACATAATCGACACTGTTGTCTTTCCGGGTGTTATTGCATCGTGAACGTGACTGCTAGGTTGGGCTCTCCGTTCTGCCTGCCTTCGCACCGCAGCTACTGCAGATAGGTGTATGGTCCAAGGACTGCATAGTCTCGACACGTAGAACGTGAAGACCGTCTCATGCCCCCATTAAAGGAACGAGTAGAGCTGTTTCAGTTTCCTGTTGGCCTTGCATGCGTGTGTTGTTTGACTGTGTGTGTGTGTGTCTCCCTCTTCTTGTTTTGTTGTAGAGGGCTGCAGGAAAATGAAGCCTGGAGGCTCAAGATTGAAATAGGACATCAACTTATCAATACAAAGACTTGCATACTGCAGACTCTTCGATGCAGCATGCTACTACGGAGTTCGAGGGAAATGAGTAAAAGCAGAAGGGGATAGAATCAAGAGAATGTTTTGTGCATCGTGTAGATGTTTGTTACATCGTTGGAGTTACCACGTCGCAATCCCAAATCCAACAGGCTCAGCCTTTGGCGCCCTGATCAAACTGAAAGTATACCCGACGAACCAAACCCGGAGGGGTCACCGCTATCTTGGCCTCCTGCTTGTGGCTTGATCCGAGGCACCCTGCTGGACCCCATGTAACTTGGACTGCGTGCACTGTTGCATACAATACTAGTCTTAATGCTGGTTGGTTTGCAACGTCAAACCACCTCGATGTCGGCGACGACGACGAGAACGACGACGGTTGTTGCTGCTGCTACTACTACTACTACTACTACTACTACTACTACTAGTACTACTAGTACTAGTAGTAGTAGTAGTAGTAGTAGTAGTACTACTACTACTACTACCACTACTACTACTACTACTACTACTACTGCTGCTGCTGCTGCTGCTGCTGCTGCCAGTGCCACTGCCACTGCCATTGCTACTGCTTTTGCTACTGCTATTTCTGCTGCTGCTGCTACTACTGCTACTGCTACTGCTTCTGCTACCACTGCCGCTACTCTTGCTGCTACTACTTCTACTACTACTACCACTACCACTACTACTACTACTACTACTACTACTACTACCACTACTACTACTACTACTACTACTACTACTACTACTACTACTACTACTACTACTACTGCTACTGCTACTGCTACTGCTACTGCTACTGCTACTGCTACTGCTACTGCTACTACTACTACTACTACTACTACTACTACTACTACTGCTACCACTGCTACTACTCCTACTGCTACTCTTACTGCTACTGCTACCACTACCAGGGCTACGACCACTGCCATCATCGCTACCACCACTACCACTACCAAACATCACTACCACTACCAGGAAGATAGCAGGAGGAGGAGGAGTACTAGCAGTAGTACGACTGAGTACTACTCGTAATGTAGCGACTACTGCTACCGTGACTACGACGACGGCGCCGATGACGAGTGAGTCACAGCCTAAACGGTTTCAAGCCAAGACAGAAGCCTGGCTTGCAACTCTAAGAAATACCACTCTGCAGTATCTTTTGCACAGCGGTGGGTTCAGGGTTGAGGGTGAGGTCCTACTACGAATGCCTGCAGTGGAGCAGCGCCGCAATTAAGGACTCGATGGACATGGTTGCAAGCCAAGCTAGACCTACCAAGCGTTTTATGAAGTTTTCAGAGCGCGGCTATCTCCCCTTCCCCATCATAACCATAGAATATTGGGCCCCAAACCCCAGTTCTAATTATTAAGGCCCGAATATTACTCCGGAAAACCCCAGGCATAGATTCACCAGCTGGTGGCTTTGTGGTTAAATGCTGCAATGTGAAACAGCCTTATACGCCTGAGCCACTATGACAAAGTTGTCTTGGCATATGTAACAAGGGTCGGACAAATACGTAGGCTTTTCCCCTTGTACTCCCTGTGTAGTGAAGCCACCAGTGCTCCACTATGATAGTGTGGGGGTTCCTTTAGTATAGTTATAGTTTCAATGGCCCCCCAAACCCTATTCTAACTCTTACCTGGGCTTTGAAGTACCATACTTTAATACTTTTTTCTTAAAGGACCCTTATGTTTTTTTCCTCCCTGGTTACTTAAAAGGCCAGTTACGGCCCCGACATGAGCTAGTCAGGCGCCAGAGACCCAGGTCGACTTGTTCTTGACTCGAGGTTCCTCGAGCTTTATCATAATTAGAGTTTAGGGTTTAGGGTTTATCATTAGCCTTACACCCTAAATCCTACAGTTTCATTGCAGGGGTTAAATTTTGGGGGGGCTGGGTAATTTTGAATGCCATGTTTTAGAGCCCGCTTGCATAACTCCAGTAGAGAATACCCGCAAACTTCTGTTCTGATTATTCTGGTCCCTATGCTTTTAGGGTTTAGGGATCCTAGACTAAAACCGCATGTCAGTGCCCGGCGAACTGAGGTTAAAAGACATCCGGGACCGATTTGCCGACTCTTCGTGGGGTCTGATGTTAGCGATCCTTTCATAAGGGCTTCTGCTTGAGTGATTCTATCACGCGGGGCCTCTACCATGTCCCTTGTTGTCTGGAACTTCCATATCAGGTTTTGGGCTGTGTCTGGAACAGGACGTCCTATTACTGCAAGTATTGGGTTCAGAGTTTTGTCCTAAACCCTAAACCTTAAACCCTAACCCCCTAAACCCTGAACCCTAAGTAGGATGGAGCCATGCGCTTCGATTTGGGCGCAGGCGTTGTCGGGCGAAGGGAAGGAGCTGTAGGCTTTCGGACTTTACCTCTGGTACGGGGCTACTTAAAGGATCATGGGACTTAGTAACTAGGGTCATAATTAAGGTAGTAATACTTATAATTACTTATAACCCCAATTAAGGTACCTATAAGCTGACTTACTAAGTCCCACGATCCTCCCATTATAGACCCCTTATAGATCCCTTTAAGGAACCCTATTATAGAACCCTATAGTACCCTAAAAAGGAACCCTAAACCCTCCAAGTAAGACGGACCCTAAGGCTCCATGTACCCATATAGTATATACTTAGGCCTTAAAGTACCTATATAGGGACTACTTTGGGGCTTAATTATCTACTATAAAGGTACATGGAGCCTTTGGGGGACATACATCGGTTCACTGCCTGCCAGGGAGTTTGCTGGTCTGAGGGTCGGGCTTTACGGCTGCGGATGAAGCAGACGCCACGAACGAATTCATAATGCTGGTCTTAGGGTTCGCCTAAAGGGTTTAGGGCCTAGGGTTTAGGGTGCGCCTAAAGGGCTTCCGTTGAAGGGGTTTGGTCAGGGGTGTGTAACTCTGTGGGCCGGCTGTACGTTTCTTGTCAAGTTGAGGGTTGAGGCTTCAGGGCCCTACCTATAGTCTCCATTGTAGTTCCTTTTTCTGGTTAACCAGTTTTATGGTTAGGAACCTATAATCGGGATTTTGGATAACCAAAAAAAGGAACTACAATGGAGACTATATAGGTAGACCTGAAACACAAATGTATTGAGACCTATACGTTTAACACCCGGAGACGACCTTCAAACACAGTTCCAGGGTTGAGGGGTTCATGTTTTGATTGGGTTGCTGGAAAGCTCTATATTGACGCCTAAGTCGATTGTCTTTGGGCAGGACCTTAGCACTGCGCTTTGCGGAGGGAAGCAGAACTTTGTTTGGGTGGAGGATCCTCTGCCACGCCGCTGCAAACCGTAAGCAGGGTTGCGCCATGTCTGTGACTTGCATGTAAATTTAGCGACTTTTCGTATGTACATGGGTGATAAGGAGGAGATGACAAATGGGTGTTGCCGGAGGGTTTGCGGAACGGTATTTGTCTTGGCTATAAGAACAGGCTCTTCCGTTGTTTGGCTGCTTTGATAATGTAGGGGCCTAGATAACTACCTATACGGATTATGGAGTTTTCGGCGTTTCTATGTTCGGTGGTCCGGCTTCACACCTGAGTTTAGAAGGAATCTACACAGCGCGATGGAGGCAGCGGGACTTAGGGTTCGGGGATAGTGTTCATACAGGTTTAGGGTTGAGAGTCTAGGCCCAGATCACAAACACAAAAAACTGAGGCGAACCCGTGAACCGTCTCCTAACCCTGTCGGAGTAACTCATTCCAAAATGCTCCTTAACTGCCTTAGCTCACTGCCCGAAACCTGTCAAACTGTTCAATACTTTTCTCCTGCAAATCATTATGCTTGGTGTGTTTTTCGCTTGAGTTTTGAAGGTATTCTTTCGCTGCGTTGTTTTATTGCTGCTATCGGAAGCGAAAGCAACGTGTGCGAAAGGAATCTAGACTCCAAACCTGCGTACTGATGTTAGCGAGATTACAGAAGTTCGCTATTTTGGGGGTTCGTTATGATAATTAATCGTATAATGGGTCCAAAGCCCCATTCCAAATGTTAAGGCCCCTACATTAGGCAGGCTTCATGGCGAGAAGTACAGTTGCAAACGCTGATCCACAAGATATTTCCGCAACCCCGGATTGTGAACAAGGTTCAATTGTCTGGATGCATCCCTACGGCACAACGGCAGCCCCAGGCTAAAACTCTAAGTCTTCTTAGTTGCCTACAAATTTCAAACTCCGAAAGCCTTAAACTACTGTATCTCAAACTCGTGACGCCAGAGAGCAAAGCTCAGCCCACAAGACCCAGGCGCATGGTCAGCGTGGCGGAGACTTGGGCGTACGACTCCGCCGACCAGACAGTCCGGAATGCCCACGCGCCCCGACGGCAAGATTTCACGAGGGTGGCTGCAGTATGCAGCAGGTGAGAAGATGAGGGCTGACAACAAATAAAGTACATAGTTAAGGACTACTTCAGGGGTTTAGGGTATGGATTGAGCAGACCGTAACAGGCCAGTCGAGAACAACCATTACGTTATGCCGGTTCGCTCCACATTAGCCCACCACGGTTGCGACAATCGGTGGTCAAACCTGAGGCTTGCTTGTATGATGTACAGAAATGCCAAGCAACGAGACACCACGGGCTGGACATGAGATTTTAGGTGTGTGCCGCCTTGAAACTTATGTGTTGCTCTTTTTCCGCTATCGGTATACCTTAAATTAGACCCTAAACTTTGAACCGAAGAAACTGCTTGTGTCAGTGCTGCAACTAGCCTTATGAAAGCAAGCACTAAGGTCTGCCGAAGGTGTCGGTTTGTGAGTAGTAGCAGTAGTAGGAGTAGTCGTCCTCGCAGCAGCAGTAGCAGTAGCAGTAGCAGTAGCAGTAGCAGTAGCAGTAGCAGTAGCAGTAGCAGTAGCAGCAGCAGCAGCAGCAGCAGCAGTAGCAGTAGCAGTAGCAGTAGCAGTAGCAGTAGCAGTAGCAGTAGCAGTAGCAGTAGCAGTAGCAGTAGCAGTAGCAGTAGCAGTAGCAGTAGCAGTAGCAGTAGCAGTAGCAGTAGTTAGCAGTCACAGTAATTAGACGTCGCAGTCGCTGTCGCAGTGGCAGTGGCATGGGCGGTGGCAGTTCAGTAGCAGTAGGAGTAGGAGTAGGAGTAGCAGTAGTCATAGTAGCAGCAGCAGTAGTAGTTCTTGTAACAAGCGTGTTAAGTGTAGCAGTGTGTAGTAGTGTGTAGTATATTGTGTAGTAGTGTCACGTAGTGTTGTAGTCGTGTGGTGGTAGTAGTAGTAGTAGTAGTAGTAGTAGTAGTAGTAGTAGTGGTCGTGGTGGTGGTGGTGGTGGCAGTAGCAGTAGTAGTAGTAGTAGTAGTAGTAGTAGTAGTAGTAGTAGTAGTAGTGGTAATGGTAGTAGCAGTAGTAGTACTGGTAGTAAGTAAGAGTAGTCAGAGTAGTAAGCTCTCACTAAAAGAACTCAGAGTACTAAGAGTACTAAGAGTACTAAAAGTACCACGAATACAAAGAGTACTAAGAGCATGAAGAGGAGTCAGTGTAGTAAAAATAGTCGTCGTAGTGGTGGTAGTGGTGGTGGTGGTGGTGGTGGTAGTGGTTTTAGTGGTATTAGTGGTCGTAGTGGTAGTAGTGGTAGTAGTAGTAGTGGTAGTAGCAGTAGTAGCAGGAGTGGTAGGAGTAGTAGTAGTAGTAGTAGTAGTAGTAGTAGTAGTAGTAGTAGTAGTAGTAGTAGTAGTAGTAGTAGTAGTAGTAGTAGTGTAGTAGTAGGAGTAGCAATAGTAGTAGTAGTAGTAGTAGTAGTAGTAGTAGTAGTAGTAGTAGTAGTAGTAGTAGTAATTGTAGTAGACGTAGTAGTCGTAGTAGAGGTAGTAACAGTAGTAGTAGTAGTTGCAGCAGTAGTAGTAGTAGTAGTAGTAGTAGCAGTGGTAGTAGTAGTAGTAGTAGTAGTAGTAGTAGTAGTAGTAGTAGTGGTCGTGGTGGTGGTGGTGGTGGTGGTGGTGGCAGTAGCAGTAGTAGTAGTAGTAGTAGTAGTAGTAGTAGTAGTAGTAGTAGTAGTAGTAGTCGTGGTAGTAGTAGTAGTAGTAGTAGTAGTAGTAGTAGTAGTAGTAGTAGTAGTAGTAGTAGTAGTAGTAGTAGTAGTAGTTCGTATTACAGTAGTAGTAGTAGTAGTGTAAGTAGTAGTGTAAGTAGTAGTAGTAGTAGTAGTAGTAGTAGTAGTAGTAGTAGTAGTAGTAGTAGTAGTAGTAGTAGTAGTAGTAGTAGTAGTAGTACGGTTGATGGTATAAATCCTGCATGACCCATAATAAGGAATATACCATAACTCCCATAGTTTCTGGTCCTTAGGGTAATGCAGGATGTATATCATCAACAGTAGTACTAGTAGTAGTAGCAGGAGTCGGAGTAGGAGTAGGGGTAGGAGTAGGAGTAGGAGTAGTAGTAGTAGTAGTAGTAGTAGTAGTAGTAGTAGTAGTAGTAGTAGTAGTAGCAGTAATTGTAGTTGTAGTAGCAGCAGCAGAAGCAGTAGGAGTGGGAGTAGGAGTAGGAGTAGCGGTTGTAGTAGTCGTAGTGTCGTAGTGGTGGTCGTACTGGTAGCCGTAAGTAGTAGCATTAGCAGGAATCTCGGTAGCAGCGGTCGTCAGTTTATTTGCTGTTGTAGTTGGGCGGCTTCAGTTTTGTGGCCAGGACTGCAACAGCACAGACGGCAGCTGCGCAAAGTTGTTTTTACCATGCTGGGTGAACAGACCCTATTCCTTCCTGTCGTTGTATCTGTCCGACAACTTTGTCAGACATTGTGAAACGACGACGACAATAGCAAAAGCAACAACAACGCAAGCAACATCAACACCAACACCAACGCCAACACCAGCAGCAACAAGAACACCACCGCCAGGAGAAGCAGCAGCAACAGCCAAGGCAACGGGCAATAGGCAGCAGGCAACCCGCAACACGCAACAGGCAGCAGGCAACAGGCAACACACAACATGCAACAGGCAAGAATCAAGAGGCAACAGGCACTAGGCAACAGACAACAGCAACAACACCAACAACAGCAACAGCGGCAGCAACAACCACAGCAACAGCAGCAGCAGCAGCAAGAACAACACCAGCAACAGCAACAATTGCACTCAAAACAACAGCAACAGCAACAACAAGACAAGAACAACATCGTCAGCATATTACCTCAACAGTAACAGCACGTGGCAAGACTAGACGCAGTAGCGCCGACATGCCTCATCACCCTGGTGATAGGAACGAAACCCCCAATACGTCATTGTCAACGACGTCGTCACCATGGGCATCAACGGTACGACGTGATTTGGATGCAACGAACCCCCAGATCTCGGCTCTAGGATTGTGGAGTTGGTACTTAAAATCATTTCGTAACTCCTTTATAACCTGGGTTATGTGGCTATCATCACGTACATGCATCTTGTATCACGATAATCTACTCCAGAAGCCCATTGAAGTTTCACGGTCTCTGTTACACACTAACTACTGCTTCCCCCAGCAGGGCTTCGTCGATCTAGATCGGGAGGATTTTGCTTGCGGTAGGGAAGCGGTCAATCGACGTGATGTTTAGACTTGTTTGGACAGTGCTGCAGGAAGATGTGCACTGCAAGCGTCAGCTTTGATTGCCACAGTGTAGAGGTTGATGTTCGCAGAGAATTCAGAATCGAGAGCCGCGTGTTTTGGTTCAGGGTGCCGGGCCCTTCCAAATTACACCCTGTATACTCTATTTAAAGTATCCATTTAAGTTCCTTTCTAAGGTTTACCGAATATTTTACACTTAGGGTTCTATAAGGTAACCCAAGAGAGGAACTATAATGGAGATTATGAGTGTCGTATACCCCATATACAGCTTTCTGTGGTTTGGGTTCGTTGACAGGTCCCACCCCTTAGAAAATCTGTTTCCAACTCAAGCAACTCGAACATGTTGCGGCAGGTTTAGCCCTAACCCTAAACCACACCCTAATCCCTAAACTCCTAAACCCTAAACCCCAAACCCTAAAGGATAATTAGATTATAGGGAAAGGGATCCTTAAAGGGGTCTGTGAGGTATCTGTAGTAGAGTTCTACAATGTAGGGGCCTGAATAATTGGAATAGGGTTTTGGGGCCACTTTTGCTATAGTTATGATAAGGAACCTCTCAAATAGTATTGGTAATTTTTTAGGCTTCTATAGTATGGTCTGAATACCCCAGCCCAAACCCCTGCAAACTCTCAACCCCTAAACCCGTAAACCCTCAACCCCACGCCTTCTGTAAACCCTAAACCCTAAACCCTAAACCCTAAACCCAAATGCCAGTCAGGTTACTGGGAAGCTGGCAGAAGATGCAAGACAAGCGTGCGCTGGACGCATGGGCAGAGGTCAGCTTGAGCGCCACCCGGCTCCAAACAAGGTTTAGGGTTTAGGGTTTACACTGGCTTTATAGAGCTTTGCAAAACAAATCTGCAGGGTTTCTGCAGGGTTGCCCAAAGTAGTCAGGATTGAGTTTTGTAGCGGCTTTGTAGAGGTTGTAAACAGAGGCTATGCTTTTACACGGGCTTTATCTGGTTGTGTCTATAGGCTTGCAAACATGGGCCTCAATAACTACTATAGGGCTGGGCAAGGGCCTTTATAAATCTGTGGGTGCATAAATGGGAGTTTCCGAAAATAGGGGACCCTAGTATAGTACCCTAAATAGTAGGATCCTGATTGCAAGAACCCCAACAGACGCTACCCCGAATTTTCGGAAGCTCCCAAAAAAAGGGCTTTCCAGAGCCAGAGTTTCGGGGCATATTCTAGGTTAATATGTACGATCTTGTGACCCAAAAGAATGTGTTCTTCGCCATTACAAGGCCCCTAAAAGGCCCAAAACGGAAATCCTATTTCCGTAATTCAGGGCTCCTACATGTTCCCATCAAAAAGTCATCCTTTCGATCTCCCTTACCTGAATCTGAGGAAGCCGTGGATGAGATTCAGCCGGAGTGTCAGGACCTCGTCAGCAAGTTCCATAGTATGATAGGGTTTCAGGGTTCTCTAGAGGGTTGTAAAATGTGTTAGTTCTGATAACTTATCGTACGATAAGACCTAACCCTAAACCCCTAAACCCTCAACCCTAAACCCTAAACCCCCAGACAAAGAAAGCAATTGTCCGAAGAGTAGACAGGTTCTCACTTATCCCCGAAAGCCTACATCCCACATCCCCGTCCCTGCATTTGTATGCTCCTTGCCCGTAGGTAGCTATCCAAACCGAACATAGCATCGGTCCAGCGCTTGGGCCGTTCTCAGGGTTCGTGCTGAAGGTTTCGGGTTCAGGACTTAGGTTTAGGCTTTAAGGTTTAGGGTTTAGGGTTTAAAGTTCAGCTTTAGAGTATCTCCGAGGGGCCTTTCAACCAGGGTTCAGGGTTGCGGGTTATACCTTGAACCCGCAGCCCTGAGCCCTATAACTGCAAAACCCCCGAAGCCCTGTACCCGAAACCCTTGAACCCTTACCGCCGTTGCCCTCACGCACGCACGTGTTAGGATGCAGACAGCAGCCATCCTGGCTGGTACTACTTGGAAAATGCCGTGGCCCCAGGTAATAACGGGTGAGAGCTGGCCGCTAGAATGCTTTGGTTGTTTACAATCAGAAGAACAAGACGACGACTACGACTACGCTTGGGGTTTGATGGTGGGTCCGTGGCCACCCCATCTTCTGGCTTTTTTCTCCAGGATTTCAGAGCTCTTGCTGCGGCACACCAGAAACCCCAAATGCCAACGCCTAAGACCCTAACAATATGAACCCAGAACTCTCGCTCGATCCCCAATTCTAAAGCCAACACTTCTAATTACATGGCAGCACTTGTGATTCATAAGTCTGAAGTATCCAGTATGACAGGTGTCAGCATTCTCACTCTGAGCAAATATCTTACTCGTACACTGCTACCTTTCTTTGTTCCTCCAAACCCAATGCCCTGAAAAACCTAAGCCCGAGAGCCTTAGAAGCTCGATCGCCTACAATGTCCAGTCTCAAGAAATGGAAAAACCCAGCTTCACCTCCGTGCCAGATCTTGAGACGTCGGCATCTCGAGGTGCGACCTGTTCACGGGAAGCAGAATTATAGTAGTAGTACGATTTGGGGGGGGTTCCTTATTATGAATATAGTTACTGGGCACCAAAACCTTATTCTAATCAAGTTACGAAGGTCTCTATATTAAGCGAAGCCAGCATGTCGGGATTCCAAGTTCCCAACGTGGTTGCGCGCGCACAGATTTTAGACCTCGAAAGTTGGTGTTGCTTGTGTGTTTTTCGTGTCCTACGAACACTTCAAAACAGCTTAAGAACCTAAGCCCCAAGCCCCAGGCCCGTAGGCCTGAAGTGGTATGTTCCAACGGAGCACCCCGAGTTCCCCCTGCAAGCAGATAGCGTTTTTGTGTGTACGCAGCAGAAGCAGAAGCATCGGGGATAGCCACTTACTGCAACTGTCGTACATTCGTCGCAGTCGTAGTCGTGCTCGTAGTCGAGTACTACTATATACTGCTTCTACTGCTACTGCTATGACGACAATGACTACTACTGCTACTACTCCTCCTCCTGCTGCTGCTACTACTACACCACTACTACTGCTGCTACTGCTACTACTACTACTACTACTACTACTACTACTACTACTACTACTACTACTACTACTACTACTACTACTACTACTACTACTACTACTACTACTACTACTACTACTACTACTACTACTACTACTACTACTAATACTACTACTACTACTACTACTACTACTGCTACTACTGCTACTACTGCTTGCTACTACTACTACTGCTACTACTGCTATACTGCTACTACTGCTACTCTGCTACTACTGCTACTACTGCTACTACTGCTACTGCTGCTACTACTACTACTACTACTTACCACTACTACTACCACTACTACTACTACTACTACTACTACTACTACTACTACTACTACTACTACTACTACTACTACTACTACTACTACTACTACTACTACTACTACTACTACTACTACTACTACTACTACTACTACTACTACTACTACTACTACTACTACTACTACTACTACTACTACTACTACTACTACTACTGCTACTGCTACTGCTACTACTACTACTACTACTACTACTACTACTATTACTACTACTAGCACTAAGACTAACACTAGCCCCAGTACTAGCACTTTAGTACGAGTACTTATTGTAGGAGTACCAGTCCTTGTAATACCGGAAAGGGCCACGGGAGCTGCTCTTGCTGTTTGTTAGGATTTAGGGTTTAGGGTTTAGGGTTCGTCGTTTTCCGAATCAGACTCTCCTTCCTTCTCAAGTCCGCAACGGTGGTCAAGCTCACAGATTGTCTGTCCAACGCCCATCCCGTCCGGCCTAAACTCTGCTCCCTTGGCCCTTTAACTCATTTCGTCTAGCTTTAAACTAGAAATCCGAACCTTTGGGTTCCCAAACCCGAAGCCCCAAAAGCTGAATCCTTGGATGTTCGTCCTCGAGCGCCAAGGTCAATACTTAGGATTTTGGAGTTGAGGGCTCGTGGTTTGGGGTACCCGACTGGGTACGCGGTGCAGGGCCGTGCAGGGAGGACGGGGCGTAGAACGGAAGCTTGAAACCAGGACGGCCCACCCCCGCCCCTCGGCAACCTCAACTGCCAGCCACTTCACCGGCAAAATGCGGGGCTGGTACAGCTTGTGCCTGTAACCCTACATCGTAAGGGGTTGGGTGTTGAGTTTTCTCAGGAGTCTGCTTCGTGCAGGTTAGAAGCTCGGAACCTGCGTGCGGATCACAAGCTCCGAGTACGGGTTTGTACATGTCTGACCAGAAAGCTGCACTTCTGCAGACGTCGACACTCCGCAGTAATTGACTACAATTACAAGTAGGGCCAGAGCTGTTTGCCGTCCCGGGCAGATGTACCCCGTGAGCTTTTTTCCTTGCATCTACCTCTCGAGTTCAGACCAGAACCTGACAGCTGAACCCTAAAGCTACACTAGCTACACCCTCTACCCTGCACCCTCCATTGTAAACACCACATGCTATAGGTACAGTATAATATACCCCCAAACCCTATTCCCAATTATCAGGGCCGCTCTATTCACAGCCCCGGTACGAGAGCAGTGCTTTGTTTCGATGCTTAGGGTTCAGTTCTCAGGCTGTAAAGGGAACTCCAGAAAGTTGGAATATGGATTAATGGTAGGATCCCCTATAATTTACCTTAAAGGGGATACGATAATGATATTCCAACTTTCTGGCTTCTACTGTAGGGGTTTTGGGGTTTAGAGGAGTTCCAGCTTCCTTGGAGGTGCACGGGACCTGGTGCTACCGGGAGGGAGGAAGAACGAGTGAGGCTCAAGGCCCAACTTCCCGAACCCTGGAAGTCCGAATCCAGTACCTTGAACACGTTGCAAGGCCAGCCTAAATGGTGTCTAGAGTCTAAAGCCCTAAACCCTAAACCCTAGACCCTAAACCCTAAAACCCTTGTACAAACCCGAAACTCCTCCAAGGACGGCTGCTCGCTACTGCACCAGCATCTCCCTGGAGACGACCTGGGCTCCGGATGATGGCAGCTCCAGCTGTTTTTAGTGTTTAGGGCCTAATTTGGGGTTTAGGGTTTAGGGTTTAGGGTCGTGGCCTTTCAGGTTTGAGTTTTACGCTTCGCTTGTTGGTTAGTGGGAGAGAGGGGGGTGGAGTGGGGAAGGGCTATCCTTGGCGCTGTTTACGGTGTCAGGTTTGTTTTTTGTTGCGTTCGGTTTGTGCGTTTTTGTTCAGGGTCCAGGGTCCTTTTTGTTTGTTGCTTTTTGTTGGTGGGTTGGGGTTCCGGGTCGGACGGGTCGGGACTGTTGGGTCAGGGTTTTGGATTTAGGGCTTTGGGTCTCGTGTATGACTAGACTATACCCGTACAAGGAACCCGGAATAATGTCGGGGAGTCTTTTTTTTTTTTTTTTGCTTGCAAATCAAGATCTTTGGGAGTGGGTGTGCAACACTGCAAAACGACCTAAGACCGTGCCGAAACCGGTAAACACAGAAATTAAGTGCACTCTGAATGCTAAAAAGTGGCGCAGCATAGAACCTGGTGGCCTTCGAAGGCTCATTTGGTTGTCTTCTGTCAGGTTTTCGAGGCCCCTGTATTCGTGTGGGAAAACACTCTTATAGAAACCCCGATAGATCCCTGAAAGGAACCCTGGACTACCCGTTAGTGTAATATGGAAGCCAAAATAGCTACCAATAGTATTCCTCGGGTTCCTGATTCTAGTTCTTCTTCAAAAAACCTCAAAACCCTGTTCTAACCATTTATACATACTTCTACTGTGTTTTCTAGAAGCCTTATATGGAGCCCTTTTGTAGTAACCCTTGCCAGGAACCTTTTAAGGCACCCAATTCTGGCATTAGGCCTTACTTTAGGGGCCTATGTAACTACCGATTGCATTTTGGGGGGTTCCTAATTATAATTATAGTATAATGAGCCCCAAAACCCTGTTCTAATTATATATATATATATAATATATATATATATATATATATAGACCCCCTTTAAGGATCCCTTTAAAGGGAACCTTATATTCTAGTTATAGAGCGTTTAGGGTTTAGGGGTTTAGGGTTTAGGGGTTTGCAGTAAACCCCATACAGTTGGAAACCGGATTAAGGCCAAATAGTGCTGGGATTCCCTATGCATTACTCTTAAGGATTGAGGCTATGGGGTTTCCATCTTTTTGGCTTCTACTGTAGGGTTTAGGGTTTAGGTTTGGGGTTTAGGGGCTTTAGTAGGGGTTGAGGGGTTGGAGGTTTAGGGGTTGAGGGTTCAGGGTCTCGGGTTTAGAGTTTAGGGGTTTGGGGTTTAGGGTGATGGCTCAGAAGCTGCATGGCTAGCAGTTTTGGGGATTCGTTGGTGGCAGTCTGAACCCCAGGCTCACAAGAAGAGACTTTTGCAGTACTAGTTCACTCCTCTAAACCCCAAACTCTAATTCAATCTTTCATTGCAGAAGAACAGCGTTCAATCTCGAGGCAGGGGCATCATGACGCGGATGCTTTGTCCCGACACATGCTCCGCAGCTGAGATCGAGCTTTGGGTTCCCAGTCGGGTGGTCTTCAGCAGGGTTTAGGGTTTAGGGTTTAGGGTTTAGGGTAACCCTAAACCCTAAACCCTAAAATCAAACTTGGGTACGGCCCCCACTCAGTAATGGTTGAATAACACTCATAATATAGATATATTAGGACCTCAACAGTAGCCCTATTATAGACTCTTACTGGAAGGGGGCAGTACCAATGTCAAGCAGTTTCTATCGCTAGCACATCCCATTGATTACCACCACTTTCCCCGCTGTTGTTCTGATTGTGAATGTCAAAATGGTTGTGGTAGAGCCTGAACCCCCTTCAAAACCACAGCGAAATCTAGTCTTACTACTAGCTTAGAGTTCAGGTTCAGGGTGCTTCCCTTCTTGTTCACTTTGCTGCTGCTGCTGCTGCCGCCACTTCTGCTAGTTATAGCAATACCGCCAAATCTGGCGACATTGCAAACGACACCAGTTGTTACTCATGTGCTAGTGCTAAATGCAATAACGGCCTTGATAATCAGGAGGCTGACTCACGACTCTAACTTCCGACATGAAATGAAGGTGCTACCTTCCCACTGCTGACTACCTCTGATTTCTCACCACCCCGACGACGACAAACCAATGCCACTGCCCCGACCCCGACTACCGCCACTGCCACACCTATCGCTACCACTACCACTGCCACTACGACTCAACTACCCTGCCACTTCCTGATAGTAGTAGTAGTAGCAGCAGCAGTAGTAGTAGCAGCAGCAGTAGTAGTAGTAGTAGTAGTGGTAGTGGTAGTGGTAGTGGTAGTGGTAGTGGTAGCGGTGGTGGTAGTGGTAGTAGTAGTAGTAGTAGTAGTCGTAGTGGTAGGGGTAGTAGTAATTGTAGTGATAGTAGTAGTAGTAGTAGTAGTAGTAGTAGTAGTAGTAGTAGTAGTAGTAGTAGTAGTAGTAGTAGCAGTAGCAGCAAACGCTAAATCCGAAGCCCTGCGCCGAAGGTGGTTGTTGGAGCAGCGTGTCACCACGCCTGATAACCACAGGCCAGAGGGGCTTCGGGTGGTGTTGTCCGTCAACGCTTAGGGGTTGCACAACCGTAAACCCTGAACCCCAAACCCTAAACTCCCTAAACCTAAAACTAGCTTACAGATTCTTGTTCGAGTCCTTTGGTTCAGGGTTTGGGGCGTTCGGCTTGAAGGTTTTGTCCTTCATGCTCAGGGTGAGCATGTGAATGAGTGGCGCTCTTGTTCCCTAACACCGTGCAAGGAAACCCTGGTCTAGCGATCCCCTGCACTGCAGACAAGCTACCGACATGGGGATTTCCGAAAAGAGGGGACCCCTAACATAGTACACCAAATTGGGCCCCAAATAGTAGGATCCTTATTATAAGGACCCCAGAATAAGGTACCCCTATTTTCGGAAACCCCCAAATAGTATCCGTCCCTGTGTAGCCGAAGCATAGTGCTCCTGAAGGATTCCACTGGTACCGTAGCTGTTGTATTACGAACGTTCATCCCAATCTTACCTTTGGTTAGTAGGGAATGGAAGAATGGTAGTAATAGTATTTATGATTGTACCCCATTCCTCCATTCCCTACTAACCAAAGGTAAGTAATCTCCCAACCCGCCTGAAAAGCCTTGCTCTCGTATCACAACCTTCAATGCTGCTTGAGGTTTCAGAAGTCTGAGACCCCAGCAAACCCAAAAACAAAGACCTTTAAACCCCCACCCTAAAAGCCTTTATAGCCCAAGCCCTGCATGTTGTCGAGAGGCCATTCGAGATAATGTTCCTGGCATTCATATGACCGTGTGGTATGCCGAGTAGAAATTACCAGTGGGTACCAGTACTGTATCACAGTAGCACCCCAGCCAGCTCTACAGTCGGTGTCATTCTTGCTTCCAATCTTCTTCTGCTCGAGACTCGACACTGTTGCTGCTTTTTTCCTCGGACTTCACGCAGCTGGAAACATGCGATCTTTGCACAAGGAATATGCCAATGCTTGGAGGAACAGCCTAGAAGCAAATGGGAGGTTGGGCCTTGGAAAGAATTTGAAGCAGCGCTCGTAGTGCGTGAAAAGACAGTCAGGTTTCAATCCTACTCTCAGAACTCCAGGGCAGTCCTAGTAAAGTGCGACTGGGTGTTTCTGGTTTCGGTACTTGCGCATACCTTCGCCTGATTCTGTGAGCAGCAGGTTGCCCTACCACTTGTCGGGCGTACGACCTCACCGGTGAGTCGTACAAAATCGCGGGCCGCACGAGGGAGTTCGCAAGATTCAACTGCTCCTGTGTTGCAAGAGCTGAGCTGGGTTTTCAAGCGAGATGCTCTTGACACCGTGATGAGATGTTCCATACCTATACATCAAGATGAGTGCAGTATACCAGGCGTATGCAGATCCAAAGTAGCTCGATCTTCATTAAAAGGACCCCTCAATGAGGGACCCAGTGAAACCACATGTAACCCGGGTAAAGCCCCAAACAAATCTGTAATTCAACCTATTAAAACCTTTATTGCGCACTTATATAGAGCTCATAACACCCCATGAAGCCCTCTATGCAACCTCTTTGCAACTCAAAAGCATACAACACCCCAACAACTCCCCTACAAGGCCGCATGGTCCCCTTGTTCAGGCTGCTAAAACTCTACTTGCAGCAGAGTCGGGGAGGTTTCGAGAATGGTCATGGGTAACTTATGTATAGTTCCCTTGACTCATGTGATGCGTGTGCTTCCGTGCTTGCAGCCGTGCTTGCCAATTCATCGTATACCCCAAGTACAGACTATGTCAGGGTCGCCGCTTTCGTGAACTTGCCATCTCTCCCGGAACTCGATCTGCAACCCCAAACCCCAAAGCCTGCGTGGTGATGGGAGAGCCATTTCATGAGACTGAGGGTTGTGAAGGTGACATCTGAGAGGTGCGGCACTAAGCCCTAAAGCCTAAACTGTGCCGTAGGGATTTGGGCAGACAGAAGACGGAGCGAAAAGGTCTTGGTTGTGTTTGTTTTTGGTGGTTCAGTGAATCAACCATGTGGGACGCAACAAGGCAAACAGTAACCCAAAAAGGAAACACAAAGGATACTATCACTAGAGGTGGACCCGTTAAACCTGTGAGAATCTGAGGTTCTGAGGATATGTCTCTGGCGGACATCAATCGTGTGCCTTTGCCCAGTGGGGTCTTGCTTGGATCTGGGTTCAGGCTTCAGAGTTTAGGGTTTAGAGGGATAGAATTTTCCCAATGCCGTTACGACAACCCTTCGGTGCTGGCAAAGGGTTGGAATATGTTGGACGGAGTTCCAAAACATTAGAACTCATGTCTTGCACAAGTGGGCTGAGGAATCTCACTCTGCCTGGCCCCTGATTTCCTGTTTGCAACGACACTGACTTCATTCACCATACTCGCGGCATTGTCTCTTGTTTTGCCTGTTCCGCTTGGTACTGTCGGTCCGGTGCTTGTTTGCACTTTTGGAAGTGTCCCAAAGGGTCCAAGTATCATTATGGTACATACTCAGACCCCCAAAATACTGTACCCCATAAGCATACGGTAGAAGCCAGAAAGTTGGAACATCGTTATCCTCATTCCCTTAAGGTAAAGTAGAGGGAATCCTAGCACGAATCATCCTAAGACCATGTTCCAACTTTCTGGGGTTCACTGTAGACTATAATGATACTTGGACCCTTTGGGTGTTGTCTGTTAGAGTTGCGACCATGCCATGCTCGGTATCAGCGACGGTTTAGGGTTAGTGTCAATTGATGCTGTGCAGGTCTGGACATGCAGAGATACCCTATATATTCCGTCTAGTACCCTTATACAAGCCCTTAAAGCTTCTAAACCCTAAACCCCTAAACCCTAAACCTTGAACCCTAAATCCTAAACCCTAACCCTAAACCCTAACCCCCCCCCCCCCCCCCAAAAAAAAAAAAAAAACCTTAAACCCTAAAGGAAACCCACCCTACCGGCCTTTCTGGGCCACCGAAGCTCCGACTTTCAGGACTTCCCTGGGGTGTGGGAAGCGTGGGTGGAGCAGCTCCTGGGCCCGAAGATGACCTTAAAAAAAAAGAAGATGACCTTAACAAAGAAGATGACCTTAAAAAAAGAAGATGACCTTAAAAAAACAAGAAGATGACCTTAAAAAAAGAAGATGACCAGAAAAAAAGAAGATAACCTTAAACAAAAAAGAAGATGACCTTAAAAAACAAAAAAAGATGACCCTTAAGGGTCCAAAGGACCCCTTAGGGTTTAGGGGTTTTGGGTTTAGGGGTCTAGGGGTTTAGGGGTTAAGGGTTTAGGGGTTTAGGGGTTTAGAGTTTAGGGGTTTAGGGGTTTAGGGGTTTAGGGTTTAGGGGTTTAGGGGTTTAGGGTTTAGGGTTTAGGACCCAATAATTAGGTACTTTGGGTTTAGGATAGTAGTTATGTAGGTTACTATTTTGGAGAGTATATGATAAGTAGCCCTTGGTCTGAAGATGAGTTAACCCCAGGGCAGTTTAGGGGTTAGGGTTCCTTTTAAAGGGATCTATCAGTGTTCTATAAGGGAATCTATAAGGGGGTTTAGGGGTTCAGGCTTTAGGGCTTCAGTGCTGTAGGGTTTGGGGCTTAGGGCTAATGGGTGTTTAGGGTTGGGTTTGGGAAGTTAACCGTCATGTCACCGACATCGTACCCCACCTCCCCGAGTCAAAACATAAACATATTCCCGAGAAATCCCACGCACACTGGCCAGAATCCAAATATTAACCCTATTTTATAGTATTGTATGAACCCGACAGTGTGACATATTAGCTTCTTGGCTACAAGTACCACAGTATCCTGAACCGACATCATGCTTGCAGATAGTATGCCTCAGCCCCATAGCCTATACCCCCTATGACACCCCAAGTCGGCAACTCTTTCCGCGAGTGTGGCCGGTTTGAAGCCTCTGACGCAAGTTCTGAAGCAAGATCTTCTTAAGCAAACAAAAGATAGTATTGACGGAACCATTATGAAATCAAGTTTACTTTTATAGGATAAAGGGTTTTAGCGTTTGTGGTTCGGCAGTTTAGGGTTTCAGGGTTTGGGGCTTTCGAGGTTTGAGGGTTTCCAGGGTTTTGACTGTGGGCGAAGATCCAGCAAGTTATTGGTTCAGGGCGGCACTTGCTGGGCGAGGCTAGCGCGAGAGAGTCTAAAAACCTCAAAAAACCTTGAAGTCCTTATCCCTAAGCTTTCCATCTCTAGACGCCATTCTCTTCATCTCCCATAGGCCCTGCACCATAGACTCTATATACAGTAGAGGCCCCAAAGTTGGAAACCCAATAGCCTCAATCCTGAAGGGTAATGCGCAGGGAATCCCCGCACTATTTGGCCTTGATCCGGTTTCCAACTTTATGGGGTTTAGTGTAGTGAGTCCCTGAAAGTTGGAAGATGGATTAGGGATGATTTAATGCAGGGTTCCCTACACTTTTTCAGGGCATGGGATACGATGTTCCAACTCTCTGGCTCTACTTTAAACCTCTAAGCCAGCCATATGCAGGGTTAGCGAGGGAACGCAACACAAGTGGAGTCTACAATTGCCCCTGCCTGGAAACCGTTCATATAGACCTTTTCCAAGCCTGAAGCCCAAACTCTGAGCCTCAAAACCCTGAGTCTTTAATGAAGACCTCCTATAGATCCCTGAGAAGAACTCTTCAATGCCCCATGTGTTTGATGCTTTGAGACGAGGCTGCGGGCTTTCTCTGTGGTTTATGGCCACCCGAGCTGCACTTTCACCTGGAGGGTTTCTCGGGTTTTGTAGGCTTTAAGATGTTTTGTGCCTAGGGTTTTTGCAGTTTGGGGATGGGTTCTACGGTTTCTGCTGGCTGCTGGCTGGGGTTTCAACGTGTAGGTTATTTGCTTTGTGTTTGCGTCCTTGGGGTTTAGGGCCTTTTGGGCTTGGAGTCCATACAATGGGCTTGGGTTTAGGGTTTAGGGTTACCAGCTCTGAGTACTCTGTGCTGAAGGCGAGGGTGGAACGCAAGTCGCGGAGATTGCCGACGAGATGGAGGAGTATGGTTGCGACATTTCTGGTGCCATGTTGGCAGACAGTGACCCTGTCTCGACCCCCTCATCCCCAGTGTTGGGTCTCTGACCACTGCAACACGCTGTCCCAACACATGCAGCATCGACAGACCCTGCAACAGAACGAGCGCCGGTCTTCTTCTCTCCATCGCCCCTATGCATATTTATATGGTGTTCCTTCAAACTTCAAGAACCTTATTCTGGGATCCTCATAATGAGGATCCGCGCTTCTTGTGCTCAGCCCCGAAATGCTTCAAAACTATAAAACCCAAGCCCTGCCCTCTGAAACATCCTTCACCATCATGCAACATGCAACCATTCTGCTGAAGCCACAACTCCTCTGAGCCCTAAAAAAACATCGCAACTAGCACTTGCCTTGCCGTTCCCCTAAACGCAGCTGCCGAACCCTGCGCACTAGAACGTGACACCCGGTTTCTTACCCTGTGTTTTGGCTGAGGAAACTACACTGAGATTGCCTGTTACTTCGACAACCCTTCTCTCAGCAACTTGGAAGGGATCCAGTAAGAGGGTGCCCCCAACCGACCTTTGCGCCAACAACATGGCTTTGGGTTCAGGAATTAGGGTCGGAGCCAGAAAACCGCTCAACAATGACACGTCAAGCGGGTACTGGCTCTGACCTGGAATGGAACAAGCAGCAGCTGTAAGTAAATCTAGCAGCGCTCATCAACCTGTTTCGCTAGTGACGGCCCTGGGAGAACGGAACTCTATTCATCATACCGTGCTTGACATGGCTGTCTTCGTGACATCATGCTGCTTAACGCAGCTTTGCATGGGGCTTTACAAGCTGTTGTTCGGGGTTATGGGCCTGCACCTGTAGTTGCGTTACTCCTGGCCTCAAGCCTATGCCATCAACCCTCAACCCAAAACCCCAGACCCCATGCCCCACCTTAAACCCCGAAACCCTAAACCCTGAACCTTCAAGTTTGGGCTCTGGGGCTTAGGATGTAGGAATTCGTTTCAGGGTCGACGCGTCAGCCTGTTCGGTCCAAAGGCCCAGGATGGTTCCGTGCTACAGGGGCTTTTGCAAATAGAACAGGTTATGGGATTTAGGGTTTAGGGTTTAGGGTGTAGGGGATTTAGATTT